TTTGGGAACCTGTGCAAAGGACTTTTCGTACTCGTAGGGTGATTTCTGCCCTGCGTCAGTAGATTCAAAAGGAATGCGCGGAACGGCTGCTCATGGACTTTCCTGAGTTCGCTCGACGCAAGCTGGCTGCCGCAGGTGTTTGGGAGCTGGGCTGGTTTGGTGGGGACTTTGAGCTGGTTTGGTGGGGCCAACGTGCATATATATATATATATATTCAAAATAGCTTTATGGTAACTTCAGTGTGGACTGTTTTAACTCTAAATTCCCTTTTGATTGGTTACATGCCGAGCTTTGTTGGCTTCCATCTTTGTATCTCTCAAATCTGATTTTGTGATACTTTTTGCCATTTCATTTCCAATGGTCTCGGAATTTGTTTCCGGGAAAATCTGCATCCGATGGACGGCACAAAGCCAAGAATTCCTAGCATAGTGCCGCTTTCCACACTTTTTGTTGGTCTAATTCTCAGTTCTTTATAGTTCTTTTATGGAGTTTCTCATCTTTCAGAAAGTCCGCCATTTGTCAACATTTTTCAATCATTTTCCGTAATCTACCTATTATTAAAATTTATGAAACGCCCCATTGTGTAAGTGGAAACCCATCTCCACCGTTGAAGGTGAAGCCGGTGAAGCCGAGTCGCCGGACGGCTTCGCCTACTACCTCTGGGGCGTGGCCCTGCGTCGTTCCGGCGAGAGCTTCGAGGGGTTCAACCTGGGCACAGCGGTGGATGAGGACCTCATGGAGGTGAAATCCAGGGGAAAAAGTGGGAATCTCAAGGAATTTAAGGGCACATCTACAGAAAACATCAGAAAACCATTGTATATGTCCCAGTCAAAAAAAAGCGGGTTCGGGTACATTTTCCTATCATCCACTGTGAATGGTCGGCAAGTTTTAATATTTATGATTTTGGCGGCTAATCCGATTAATCCTGTTGAAGAGATTCATCATAGCTCCAAATAGAATCACATAGATACATAAGAGTTTTGAAATCCACGATTCAATACATTTCAGTACTACATGTCCATCATTGTCCCATGCGGAGCGCCCACCATGTCCTCCCCATTTCTCGTGGCAGGCAGAGACCTGGGCGAAGCTGCGGCAGTTGCAAGCAGCTCGCGGCTGGGGCGACTTTGAACAGGCACAAATCTTCCTGGGATGCAGAGATGCGCTGACTCCATGTCCCGCAGCGGTTTTTGGAGATGGATGGAGAATGATGGAGATGGGTAATGCGGAAAAAAACTCGTATATTAGATGATATTAGCGCTGTAGGATGTTGCGGTTGATTTGCACGAAACCTCACTTTCTGCCTCAGTGGGGCTGCTGATTTCTTCAGCATATCCGCAGTTGAGGTCACTACGATTTGCTTCACAATGCCTATGTTCAGGTGAAGGGTTGGAAGCGCTTCCTGCTCCTGGACCCCTGCCATGGCTATGACCTCTACCCCTATCCCCAGGGGCATCCGATGGACCGCTGCGCCCGGGCAGATCTGGAAGACCCTGACCTGGTGCGGTTCCCGCGGCTGGCGCGGGTGCGGGCCCTGGAGGCAACGCTGGGCCCAGGAGATGTGCTCGTCCTGCCGTGTGGCTGGTGGCACCATGTGCAGTCGCTCACTGAAGATTCGATCTCCGTCACTTCCTTGGTGGTTTCAGGGAGGTTTTCTTCATTTGCATATCGGGGTAGCCAGGATTAGAGATATGAGAGAAAGAACAATTTGCCCTAGTCGACCCCATGCTATGTTATTTTTTGGCGAGGTTCTCCCGTCAAATGAGTATGATTGAGTTTGCCACCTTACTCGGGATGATGCCCAATCCACAGGAAGCCACCATTTTTGACATTTTGATGACAAACGCCTGACATTTCACGGTAAACCGGTAAACCAATCAAAAAACCTGAGTTGTCCTGCAACTTTTCTCTTCAAACATCTTCAAACTCAACACTATGGTTCACATTTTTTCCAAAAACAAAAACAATCCATTGAACATCGATCCAACCATATTTGTTTTTGTTTATATATATATATTATATAACATTAAATTTACTTTATTGATGTATTTGTTTGTTTGTTTATTTATTTTTTAAACCATTGATCCCAAGCAGGTGAGCTTTTGGTTCTCTCAGAACTCCTCCGTTGACCGACCTTTGGATCCCCTAAGCTCCCTGCAGCGGCTGCTGCTCTGCCGAGAGCTGGAGCAAGTGCTGCTGCTGCTGCGGGGCAAGGGCGGGCTACGTGGAGCATATGGGACCATCCGACAGATGTTGGAGGAGGAAGTGAAGGAAGTGAAGGGTGATCCACAGGAAACTGGGCGTCAGATTTTCTTTAAGATACAGATATCATCAGATATCATAGACTTTCTACACACACGTTATAGGTGTGATGATATGTGTATCTGTATGTATATGTATGTGTATGGAGTCATCTGGGAGTGGATAGAATATAGACATTTCAAAACAACATGTCAAAAAATGGGAATATCATTGAACAATCCATAGTCTGTCTACTGCAGCATGATTACACATACAATGTAATAATCAATCATCAATCTTTGCCGGAATTCAATGTTCGGTTTTGAAATATATATATTTTGCCAACAGTTTCTTTCTCATCAACATTTGGAACGTTTCGGAATTTGTGGCACATACATTTCCCAGAATTGTTCCATACGATTCTCCTGCTGATCCTTTGCTGACTATATCACATGGTATTTGATCATTTTCCTCCCCCTTTTTGGATGATTTTTTGCTTCGGGTTCAACCCAGGAAGTTTTATGTTGCGCGTGGCTCTTGTGGCGCCTGCACAGCGCTTTGGGACTCTCTGCGCGCGAGCTGGTGAGGGAGTTGGTTGATGATGCCCGATTTGATGGGCTGACGTTTCAGCGGAAAAAGCTGCGCGCTTGCCATTGTGGTGTTGGGTTGTCGTGTGGCCGATGTTAGACATTACAAGGATAGGGGATGATAGGGGTAAAGTCTGCAGATGTTTACGGTCTCATGATCATATATTGGATCGTATCGATTTGTTGATCTACGATTTTTTAACATGAAATTTATGTGCGCGCGGGACTCCAATACAATGGATGAGATGATAGATGGGAGATCTAGACATTTAGTGCAAGTGATTTTTTTCTTCGATATTGGTGGTGGGAAAGGGAACGTTATCCTACACGTTACACCAACGTTATGCCAAGGCACTGGTGGTACGTGCAAGAGATGTGCGAGGTGATCCCAGCACGTCTCTTGGCGATGGAAAGACAAGGACCATGGGAGATACCATGGGAGATACCATGGGAGATACCATGGGAGACATAATCAATATAATATATAATATATATCCGTGTATAATATCTATAATTATATCTAATATATCTATTATTATTTGTAGATGTGATGATGTTATTATAATTAATTTTTTACCGAATCATAATCACATCTACATATAAGATTATATAAGCATATCCAATGATGTCCAATCAATATCTAATCAATTATATGATTTATATGTCATATGAGTCTTACCTTCTACAGATCATCAATCTGTCACCGGATCATTTTTGATCATCTCAGCGCCTCAGGCAAGAGCGACCCAGGCCTGTGGACGCGTTGGGTTCCGGCGCCGGAGTGTTTCCACCCAGAGCACGATATCTGGAGAAATCGCAGCCCAACGGTCGAGGCGTGCTGCATGGTGAGGAAATGGTGCATGGTAGAGGATTAAAGGTCCCATGGGGAAGCATCTTTTTTTCGAAACGGATCATGGAAGATCCTCCAAGTCTAGACTTTGCATTTTTGTTGGTGTAAAATTGCATTTTCAAGCACTGCTGGGAGAATATGTTTATGGCTTTTGACACTTTTTGATGCCTTGGCTGCCGGCCCTGGTTGCTGGACTTGGGGGACTGTATGGATCAACCAAGGGATAAGTGACCAACCAAGGGATCAAACATCTCTCAATGATTCCGCAGGGCATCGGGGTTGGATCCACATCCGAATTGAGATGACATAGATATCAGTTTCAACCTGCTATTTGCGGACTAGCCATCAATCTATTCACTGTTGAATAGTTGATTTCGCCATGCAAAATACCTTACTGACATCATTTTGCAGATAATTGTCCAGTCAAGAAATGCTATTTCCCATTGCCATATTGTGTATCACCATTTTCATCCATTTTCTATGTTCATCTCCTATATTATTAGTTCTTACGGGAATCCCCATCCCCATTTCCCATATCTTTGTATGTAATTGCACACACTGTATACATACAGTATCTCTGTCTCCGAGCTTTTTGACTTTTTGAGTGACATTGAGTTACATAAATCCAACTTTTCCATTTTTCTCATCGATATTTGGGATGCAAAAAGGCCCCGATGCTAACCGCGCAGGCCTTGTCCGCGTCGCCAGAGATCCACTGGTCCAACGTGGACACCGCCCCCTGTGGTGATGGCATTTCGGTGGCCGAGGCGCTGAGAAAATGGTGGGTTTCACCCTGAAAAATGGGGGAAAACGGGTTGGACATCTGGATTTCACCATATTTCACCCATGAAAAAATGGTGTGTTTGACCACATTTCACCCAAAAAAATAGCCAAGTTTTATTGGGATGTCAAAGGCAGAACGATGGCTTTCTGCCTTGGTGCAGGTGGAATCCTTTTGGAACGACTTCATCATGGCAGCTCAGAAGTCGCGAGGTGACTGGCCCAGCCTACGGAAGAGGTCCCAGGCAATGGCCGACGCTTGGGATTTCTCGGAAGCGGTGCGATTGAATGCGATTGAAAGGACGCAGATTCGATACCTTTTTGGGTTCTATGGAGTTGGAAACTTCAAAGTTCAAAGATTTTCAACCAATGGGATTTTCGAGATGTCTGACGTACTGACCATTACTGACCAGTTCAGGTGTGCGATTCGATGTGTTTTTCTTGGGCGTCATCCCCAGTCCTCCCACCATGACCAGCGAGTCTTGAGGAAGTGGGTCACGACATGTCACGACCCTTAGTGCCTTAGTGGTGGCTACGCTTGGGTATAGGGGCTTATCATGGCTTATCAATGATCAGAGCACTTTCTACATGGCCTACCATTGAACAATATCGAACAGATATGTCTTATCCTGCTGTTGATTGGAGTGGCCTCCCATTGTATGGTAGGGGAGGCCCACTGACTCCCAGATGACGTGATTTCACCCATGGCACACTCGATGCTAGAGTTACCTATAACTGATGACTTTACAACATTTTACAACTGATTCTTTTTAGAGAAATGCCACAAGTGCCGTGAATAAGAGATTTGGTAAAAACAAACATCTGATACATGCGTGGCCGTTTGTGTGAGGCAACTTTCTGATAGCCGTTGCACGTGATTTTTCTGGACGCCATGCCCAGAGGCTTCGTATGCCAACTTCATTATCAGGGCGGTGGCTCTTTGCTTTGCCAAACTTCCACCGGAGATTCGTGGCGGTTGCCTTTTGCTCATGCCCCGCCACACGTGCGGATTGGCCACACCGTGACATTTTCACTGCCCTCGGATCAGGCAGATCTGGCAGTGGATCTGGAGGTAATCCAGGAGAAAGCAGCAAAGCCTGTACCCCCCATATCGAAACAACCTTCCAGGAAGCTCCAACGAAGTATCACCAGGTTTCACAATGCAGTTTTGGAAGAAAAACTTCAAATGATTGAAACCGCGGAAGGTGTGCTGAGTGATTTGCTGAATGAGGTCGAGTTGGATGGCGATGCCATTTGCAAGTTGCTATGTCGCTGTGCTGGATGGCTGCATGCACCAGGCTCCTTCGAAGCGAAAGACGTCGCTGCCGCTGCGACCGAGGCTGCCATGGTTTCTCGGCCTAGCACACCTAGCGACTTGCAGCGCCGGGTGAGACGTTTGTTGATCTTGGCTTTGAGCTCGTTGGATTTGAGCGACATCACAACCTACCAGGCAGTTGAAATAGCTGTGCTGTACATTAATCAAATTATTCAACTGATGCAGGGGAAGGAGACCTTGTTCTCTGAGAACAGGAAATCGCTTGCGGTGAGACAATGGAGGCAACTTCAAGAGTTGCTGGTGGCAAGTGATGCACAGCATGGCCCAGTGAAACGGAAAGCATCAGATTACCCGCTTGAAGCCTTGAAAGGCAAGGCCACTAGAAGCAAGGACAGGTCGGCAGCCATTGACGGCGTGTATCGCCCCTATGAACGCATAAGGAGTTTGCCAGCCGTTTATGAGGCCCCTGACCGAGTTGTCCTGTTGAAATGCTCCAAGTGCGTGGAGCGTATCAGCACCAGTTGGTTTCTGAAACATCCCAACAATGGACGAATTTACGCTCTGGTTCCACAACATGGCCATCTCACCTGCGGGAAGTCGCTGGGGAAAAAATGTCCTTGGATTTCTTCGGATGGCACCGAGACTTGCTCGGACAACTTTGCGCACTTGGATTTTTGCGACCACAAAAACCGACGGTCACGCTGCAAGGAGTGCGGTGGCCGTGAAATTTGCCCTCACAACCGCCACCGATCGTTTTGCAAGGAGTGTGGTGGGCGGAGCATTTGTCATCACAACCGCCAACGGTCGAGGTGCAAGGATTGCGGAGGAGGCAGCATTTGCCCTCACAATCGCCTACGGTACGGCTGCCCAGTCTGCAAGCCTCAAGCTCGGAAGTAAAAAAAATATATATCAGAATCAATGGGATGCATACTGCATGCGCTCACTTTGACATGTGCGGGTTCAGTCTGCCTTTTGGGGCACAAGGATGAATGTTCACACTCTTTATATGTGCCCCCCTCCCAAGACATAGTTGCAATCCGTTGGAAGCTGGGCGGTCTTCTCCATGAGCAGCCATACTGCGTGTGCTGATCTTCAGGAAAGCTGACCAGGGCAAGTCGTCAAGATTTTCTGCGATTATTTCCTGCCTCCTCAATGAATTCTCGAGTGACCTACCAGCAATCACAGTTTCAAAGCCAACTATGGGCTTGAAAGCGAGTCAGGGAAACCACCTGGGGTGATCATGCAGGCACCTGTAAAAAAAATGAGACGTGCAGAGAGCGTTGCTATGATAGGTGAGCCTGCCTGAAGGTGCCATAGATTCATCAACCAGCATCAGCCGAAAGGCACCAGATTTCAATGCAGCGCTTTTTTGGGACCTGAAAGACATCCAACTCACATCAAGTTCATTCACTTCCATTTTTTGTTTTTGTTTTTTGTCCATCCATCTTGGGCCTCTACCCCATAGAAGTGACATGACCCGCATGGAAGATGATTTTCCTATTGACCATGGTGGACTTCCAGCAGGACTATGAGCCAACCAGCCATGGGGATCCAGAAAAAATCAGAAAAGGATTCTCCAAATGGTGATATGTAGCAACACTATTCACTCAATGTGGCCAAATCAGTTGTGATTGTTGATGTTCCAATTCTCCAAGTTGTCAGACGGCCTGTCATTTTTTTTTACACAGTTTCTTTTTCATGATGTATTGTCACAAAACACACACACACACATATATATATATATGTATATGTATAATAATTACAATGCAGATGCTGAACTCCCAGAGAGGGCGATGGAGAGATATATGTATAATTATGTATACCTGTCACTCCTCCGACACACCCGCCCCAGAAGTTTGATCCTTGTTTTTTGTAGGCTTCCGACCCCTCACAGGTTTTGATGTTTCAAGCCTTTGAATGTCCAAAGGAAAGATTCGGGAGAGAGAAGCTGGCACTCTACGAGCGAATCCTGGGGCGCTATGTGCCTCAGTGAGACGTTTTTGTAAACCGGGCAGGCTTGTGCACTTGATGAATCCCATTTTTGTGAAACAAACTTGGTTATAAAGCTATACAGCTATGTAGTTGCATAGTTATATGATGTTATATGGTCATATATATATTATATATTATTTTTATAATATAGTTATATTATATGGTTGTACGGTTATACCATAGTAGATGGTTGTATGGTTACAGTCGTCGACAGAATTTTGGAAATGAAAAAAGGTTCGCGCGCCGCAGTTAGCAGAAAAGGTTGGGGACCGAAAACAAGACAAAAGATTAGCGACATTACGGACTTTGAAAAAAAGAATTTTGGAAATAGCAATTTTCAGATCCTGATCCTCTAAAAAAGAAAAAACAAGTGAGACAAATGTCTACAAAAGCCTTTAATCCACGATGCAAAATTAATTTTGGAAATCTTACTTATCGGATCCTGATCCTTCAAACTACCCGCTTTACAGCGTATTTGCATGATTTTGGGACAAAATCCAGATTCAGTTTTGGGACCCTTATCCTCCAAACCACCTGTAGCCATAATCATGCACTGTAGCCATGGCCAAAAGAATTATGGAAACATGTCAATAGAAAAGTTGTCACCCCTTTCAGGAAACAAATAATTATGGAAATGGTCATATGCCAAGAAGCACCCTCACATGGAAACAATATATATGGAAATTTAACTGCAGCACGTCACGCCCCTTCCAAAAAGGTTCGGTATACAAGGTATTACCGATTTTTGAGGTGTGCATTTTTATCAGTAAAACAGAATTATGGAAAAATACGGCCCCGGCGCGCCGCAGTTGTTTACCTGCCCATGTCGAACCTTTTTTCCATTTCCAAAATTCTGTCGACGACCATATAGCCATGTCAGGCCATTCTGAACGTCCCACGGAGAGGTGACTTTCCTAGCGCAACGTCTGAGGTCCTTCTCTTGAGGCGAAAGGTGTCGCAGGAAGCCATCACCAAGTTGGGCTTGGACAATTTGTTGTGTCCCTTTGCTAAAAACATGGGCAAAAACGTGGCCAAAAAAGCCTGGGAAGCCTGGCCTGGGGGGCTTCGGGATCCGGCAGACTAACTTAGGGATCTTCGGGATTCAATCAGCTCAGTCTAGAATTCTGGTCCATCCCATCTCCAGCAGATACCAGATGGCTCAATCACGAGGCAATTGGCGCTTGCATTTGCTTTTCCATGACGTGATTGCAGAAGGACGGGCTCCTGGGGTTGAAATGAAAAGACTTAGGAAACCTCTCTGTGGCATCAAACTGTGTCCTCCGAAATGTCCAATTCATTCAATTCAACCAATCGCCCGTCTAATGCACCATTGGCCGCAGGCAAAGCAGCCTACGTTGAAACGCTGAAGCCTCTTGGCAGATTTAGCCCACTGAGTCAGCGACCTCGAAAAGTAAGCCCCTCGCAGAAACCCTATGTTCAGCAATGATTTTCTTAAATTTGTATAATTTGTGACCTTTTTGATGCATCCCATACATTCCCATACCCTCTGGTGATCACACATGGCTTGCCGGAAAATTCCCCAAAGATGATCGTGGCTGCCCGCCATGTGCATGGTCCATGGTCATCAGGAACACCCAAGACTCCTTGCTCTACAGGCTTCAGCGCCTTGGCATTGATGAAATGGCTTGCTTGGACAGCCTACATCAAAAATTGATTTCATGTTTGGGCAGCAATTTGCCACAGTTTCACAGCTCTATTAGACTTTATTAGCCACCAACTATTTGACAGATCTAGAGACATCTCTCGGAAATCTACGACATTTATTATTCACGCAAGCAAAACTAAGGGTGGTTTTGCCCTACCCCCCAAAGCCAACTCGCCCAACAGTAGGGGCCCCCAATACACTATCCTAGACTTGGTTGAAAGGAACAATCAATCACGGTTGAACCATGTTAACACTCCTGTTTTGTCCGGGGGTTAGAGCCCATGAGTTTCAAATTTCAACCAGAGCCATAACTTTTCTCATAGACTTAACGAATCCAGTAGGGTCGAACTCGGCAACGTCCTTATAGAACAACTTAGCTAAGGGGCACCACTATGACCTGTGGCGAGGCACATTGGCGAGGCCACGATGTTGGATTTGGTGGGCCTCTTGCGGCCTGACGATTTGTGGCTTGGCGAGCGAAGGAGGCAAGCTCGAGACATGGATGAGCAATAGGAATGATCACATGATAGAATGATAGCAATAGATTGAATCCCGAAGATCCCCAGGTATTAACACAACATATTTCCGGCTTTACCATATCCCCCGCTATGGTTTTAATACCGAGTAAGATTTGGTAAATGGGGCATAGTTATGGGTTTAGCACATTAGATCCATTCCCGTCGATCGCGGAAATGGTTGCGGACCAGAATTGGGGGGCAAAATCCCTGGAGCAACCGTCAGTTTCCATCACCCCATTGTTGATCGTAAAGTCAATTTTTCATGGTCAAACCATGTGACACTCGAAAAAACTCACATTGCTATGGAAAACGACCGATTTATAGATGATTTGCCAGAACACAATGATTTTTCATGGCAAGGGATTACATTTCCAGAGGGTACAGGATGATGCCCCCCCAGATATAAGTTGGTTTATACACCCCATTAACATCCATTAACATCCATTAACTATATATATATAGTTAAATATATATAGTTAATATCATTATATCTACCATAAACCATCGAATTCAGCCACTTATAAGGCAACTGAACTATCTTGGGGGCACCATCCTGTAAGTCCACGGCTTTTCTCTGATCCAATCCGTTTCCCAGGCTCTTTGAGGACATGAAGTTCCGCTACATCCGCGAGCTGAAACAGCGGCCCGATCGCCGCGGTTTCATCCAGAAAACGGTGGCGCCTAGCCCGAGGGCCGGTAGGGCCCGGTAGGGGAGTTCATTGAGGGAATAGGTGGCCTGGGTAAGTGGAACAATGCCATGGTTTTTGGCAGTTCTTTTTTTGGGTATTGTTTTTGTTGTGATTTCGTTTGAGGCAGTAATGTTTGATAAATCGGTAAATTCTTTTCGACTTTCGACTTTGGAAAGCACCAGGATGAGGGTCATCCTTGCCCTGACTTGGGATGGCATTATGCCATACCACATCCGGACATGTTGAGTAGCCGTCTTTTAAGGCAACCCGGCAACCCAGCCCTGAGGAAAACGACAAAGGCGGTTTCTACTCCATGCTGAACTGGTTGCTGGCGCAACCTGCGATGGCACCCTTATGGCTGCCCAAGGTGCCAATTTGGGAGGGTTAGTATTAGGGGGAAAGGGATCAATTTGGCTTACCCTCTGATACACTAACATAGCTATGGAAAACCACCATTTTTCATAGGTAATTTAACATAGCTATTGACAATGGCTCATTGAGTTTGTTGATTTAGCTTTTTTTGAAGATGGTGATTTTCCATAGCTATGTTAGTTTACCAGAGGAGATGTTTACCAGATTGTGTACCCATCATTTTTTGTACCACCAAAATATGTACCAATGAAATGGCGAATCGTTGGCGGATCCCCCAACATTGTCATTCATGGAAATGACCGGCCTGTAAAGCGTCAACTAAATCAATCCCTTGATGTCGGTTAAATCACCATTTGTGATGGTTGACTTGCCAATTTGGATGGTGAATTCCCGCTTTTTGCTCCAATCCCGGTTCCTGATGCATACATCTTGATGTGGTAAACACAGCTTATAAACCCTCCCCAATATTACCATAGATGGGTGGGATTTCGACCATATGGCATTGGGTGTGATATATCCAATTATGTACCATTATTCTTCCATCACTATCCCATTCTTACTGGTAACATCTCATTTCTGTTGGTTACAATCCCATTATGACACCATTGTAAATGCTATAATCATTGCTTTACCGTATGCCAATAATTCTACTCCAGCTATTATACTAACATGGCTATTGAAAATGGCCATAGAAATAGTGAGTTTTCCCATTAAAAATGGTGGATCTTTCCATAGTTATGTTAGTTTACCAGAGGGTATTTACTATTACATATTATGACTGGTTATAGCCCTTTGTTTCATACCGAACTCCATTGGTTCCGAGGCCCACCTCCTCGACTCGGGTGCCTGGCTTGTCACGGGATACCAGGCAGCTTGCCGAGCCGAGGTCTAATTGGGGTGATTCAGCATGGCAAAAACCGACAGTTTTCATCAAATGAGAAGTTATACATATATATATACGTATGTTTATAGATATTCAGATATGTGACATAGAATTGTATACATCTTGGTCTGAAGGCGATGGAGGGAAGGATACATACATTGTGATGCCCCCTAGTTATGTTGAAGTTATGTTACTTATAACATGAGTTACGGAAGTTAAGTTGAAGTTATGTTAACTTATGTTATACGATTTATAACTTAAGTTATAACTTCGATAACTTCTTAGGAGGTTTTTTTCTTCCCTTTTTTTGATATGCCATGAATTTTTATAGCATGAGTTGGTTTCTGCAGTTTCTTCGTTTCTGGCAGGATTCTCTTGCGTTTTTGTCCGCCAAATGCAACGTTTTCATGGCAAGAACATAACCGTGCCGCTTTCAGCGGCGGTCCATGCCGGTATGTGCATGTTGTTCATGCAAGCATATTCAATGATTTTTTTTTCGGCGGTCTTTTTGAAGATTCGAAAAGACTCTCCAGCTTTAATTAGGGCCAGGACCGTGACAAACAAAAATAAACGGCCATGCTTCCGTAAGAAGAAATGAATTTGGCATCCCTCCGTGTACCTTTCTCCTGTTAGCAAATAGTCAGCTTCTTGCAAGGAGACCATGTTCAAGCGGCATTTCTTGGCGATTTGGGCGCCTTCGATCTGCGTGGAGGCCAACACTTCAGATTCAGAAAACGGATCCTGCAGTTCATACCCACATGATAGGATCGGCAGCTCTTTGAGGAGCTCGATGCTGCGCAACAGTAGCCTTGGCAGCAGCTCTTGACTCAGAGACAGACCGCCATTATCACTGCGCAGGAACTGTCGAGTGAGATCCGCATACACACCCTTATAGGATTTGTGCGCAGACTCTACGCCCCAACAACTCGCCGCGACCCCATGAGCCAGGTATTGCCCTGGCAAATGAAGCCGGCAATGGTGTTTGGGTCTGCTACAGTTTGGGTACTGCTGTGAGAATAATCTTTGATGTTCTTGTTGTTCCCTGTGCAGACAGTGCGCGGCTGCCAGATCTACCTTGCATCTTTTCAGTGCATCTGTGCAACGGCAAAGTTGCAAGAAGCATTTCACTGGGCCACTCATAGCCGGCACCTGCAACCATTGTGTTTCAGCAATGTAGCGAAGCAACGCTACTAAGGCAACTGTTTCCCCAGCACTGCCCTTGTAGACCCCTTCGCCAAACAGAGCGTCCTTCCACAGACGCTTCAACCAAAATTTGTTTTCGCTTTTGTCGTGCCTGCTCCATCCTGCGTTAACGCAGGCTTCTGCTAGCCCGTTTACTGTCACTCCCAGATTCACTTGGGCTAGCTTCAACAGCAGTATCACTTCAGAACTGCAGATTCCATTGCTCCAATAGCAATGCAAGCAATCGTTTTGGATCATATTGATATGCAGCAAGGCGCGGCTCGCTGGACACGACCAAAGACTATGCTTTTCCAGGTTGTAGCCCATGCATCGCTCGCGGATATCGCGCTCCGCTCTTGACATGGTCTCAACGCGGCCAAGCCAATGCAGGATGCATGCTTCCAGGTCGTTCCGACTGTAGGGCACAAACTGGGAGAAGTCATGCTGCTCCACAGTATGAAACGTGGCATCTGCGCATGCATCGCCAGCGTAGCGGGCAATGCAATTCGAACAGAAAATGCACGGTTTCAAAGCCGCACTGCCCTTCGCGGCCAGAGCCGCCCTCTGGGAATCTAGGTCACTGATGAACAGCTTCAAAGCTACAGTCACCTGGCGCTGTCTTTTGCCGATGGGGAACGGTTCAAGCAAATTGTCTTCTGACCAGCTGCGCAGAAAAGCAGCCGTGGCTTCCGCTATGCCGCCGCGCAGGCCTTCAAGCTGCTCGTGCGTAATCGCACTAACAGGCAGCCACGCGCGCGCAGAGTCTCTGCAAGCCTGCAACTGCTGGAAGCTAACATAAAACAGCAAGACCTTTTGTCTCAATTTCGGATTCAAAACATTTCCCGCGGTAGCTTCATCATGGGCTAGAAAAGCCTGAAGCCTCCCATCCGGAGATGCTGTCAGCGCTTCCTCTATTGAGTAACACTGTCGTGCGACGTGATCGAGAAAACGCTTCAGATCGGCCACCATAAATTGTATCGCATCGTCTTGCGCATCCTTGCAAGGCAATGCGACACACTTGAAACATTGTCGAAAAGGCCCCAGAGCTTGCTGTGCTGCACGTTTCAAAGCGCCAGACGGTTGCTTCTTAACGTCTTTTCCTCGGAGCATGTTTGTCAAGGCAGCTATACTTTGCACGCTGTAGCGAGCCATTGCGCTTTGCAGCGGCTGTCCATGAATATTCCGACAGGTCGACGCATGCGTCATAGCTGCAGCGCACGCTCCACACAGACACAATGGACAAGTATGTCACAATAAACTGCCATTGATCCATAGAACGATCTATATAAAGAGCTTGTATCATTTCGATGCGATTGTCAATGTTTTGTGGGGTAATAGACACGATCTGTATCTCTCTGTCTCTCTCTTTCTCTCTCTTGACATATCTATATATGTTCTATAATGTCTACGACATGCTGGGATAACATTACCTTTAATTATCCCTTCCAAATGATTCAACGAAGCATATCCAAGCTTATATTTTGTGGTGCGACAGTAGTAGTTTGAACTATGTGGAAAGACGTTATATAATTATAGACATGTGTGTGTTTCCCTTGGGCAATGCGCCGCCTCGCAGTCATGCATCTCTGCCGTTGCTTAGAACCGATCTATGTATATAGAGATGCCTGCAGCATATGAATCACACTGGTTGCTAACATCTTTCCTTTAGACCCGAGAGAGTTACATATATGTATACTGGGGTAATAGTATCCTTACGTCTTATAAGTGCTTTACCCTCGAAGTAGGCAGAATGGTACATCTTCGCAAGAGTATCACATCTTTAGGAGGAGGACAGGAACGCGTTTCCCATCAGGCGACACTGTAGCTACGTAGACAGAGTGTACAGGAACGAGGCCTTTTCCAGCCAGAACCACTCTGCGATGCGTCGAGGTGCATGACATGTCTCTGTGACATGTTAAGCGTCATAAAAGAAATTACCGTACCAAGCACATATGCGTATACAAAGTATACGTTGAATTGCTGCAGCTTGCGTCAAGGTAACGCAAACACTGCACACAGCAGAAAGCAATGCCCATTCATTGCTTCTTCCCTTTCTTTGCCGTGGCCTTTGGCCCCGCTGCGTTCTCCTTGTTCGAGCGACAGAATTCCTGCAGGGTGCGCACAGCTGTGTTGGCCTTCTTCAGGACCTCCTGCGTTCCTTTGACATTTAGCAAAGCCGCTTCCTCCATGCTGGCGAGGCCTTGACCTTTGCTGGCTCCGCTTAGCATCTTGGATGCGTTGGCCATAGCCAAACTCACAGCGCTCTGCGCTTCCGTCACTAGGCGCTCGTCTTCTTCCGCCAAAGGAATGCCCAGCTGGGAGGCCTTCTCAATGGCCGCTGACAGCCTGGCGTGGACTTTCTGCAGGTTTGGCAAGAACTTGCCAGCCGCAGTAACCGCCGCAGTCTCCAGTTTCTGTCATTTCTTCGCCTCCAACTTCTGCGCCTTCAGTGCTTGCTGCGCTTCTTTCTTCTCTTCGTCAGTTTTTCTCTTCTTGCCTACACGGCCACTTATTGGCTCCGGATCAGCGGCTGGCAAGTCCAAGCGCAGCGGAGGCTGGGTCTCTTGCGACGCAGCCGCCGCTGCGGCTCGCTCCTGCCTCTGCCTAAACTCCGTTTCAAGACGCACAATGCGTTCTTCCGTTAGCTTCGTCACGAATTCCTTCGACTGCTTCGTGATGTCCACGCGGTAGGTCGCTCCCAAGATGGGATGCTCACGGTAATCTGCGAGCTGCTCGATCCTCTCGGTATTATAACCCTTCAGCTCATAATAGGCCAGCGGCTGATAGGCTCCGTGGTCTCCTTCCCGGTCCTCGCGGGACGAGGATTCCACCATCGCTTGCTTCAGCATGCCTCTCGCATGCGCGTACGTCAGCCTCTTGTCAATGCTGTTCTCCCGCTGCGCGCGCGCCTCTGCGAAGAACGCCACAGCCTCGGACTCGTTCAGCAGCGACTTGATTTCGATTCCATGTCTCGTCAATTGTGTTTGGCACGCATGGCAAGGCTTGCACGTCCACCGCAAATCCATCCGGAACTTGGGCGTTTCCAACGCCTCGCTGCAATCCACCTTCTGCCCGCAGCGGCGACAGGTCACTTTCGTGTCGTCTGCCACCGCAACTGCGACGTCGCCAGCGCCCGCAGGCGCGGCTACCATCGCTTCCGGAGCTTCTCCATCCTTGGACGGCGATCCAGCCACGAGACTAGCAAGACAAGCGGCTGCGTCAGCGCGGAGCGCACTGTCTTCCCCTGTCTCTCCTTGCACCGGAGACATTTCTGTCTCTTGAGGCACAACGGTCGGAGCAGCCTCTAGCGCAGGAGTAGATTCCGCTGCCATTGCCAGCACAGAAGGAACGATCAGAAAGCAACGAAGCTACAGCGCTCAGGCCGTGCACCTCGGGCAAAGAAATGGCTCCGGATGCACTTTTTCAGGAAACACAAAGAAACACATTTTAAACACATACGCGTTTCCTACCCTATGCGGCCTCCCTGCTGGAAACACAGACGCGTTTCCTTCGGTGAGCTCACTGCGACCTGGAAACACATGCGCGTTTCCATCTGATTTTCTTGTACTTGCTTGGAAACACATGCGCGTTTCCAATTTGTCACGGAAACACATATCATTGGTCAGACAAACTAATGAGTAGCACGGTGCACCAGGAAACACATTTTAAACACATTGCGTGTTTTCTTGCGACTGCATGCTTCAAGTGTGGAAACACATGCGCGTTTCCTTCCTATTTCTACGTGATGACAAGAAACACATACGCGTTTCCATGTTTTCTGGGATTTTTGCTGGGAAACACATGCGTGTTTTCTGCGTTTGGGGTTCCTATGATTGGAAACACATGCGCGTTTCCAGATCCAAGCTCTGCAGCGTCGATACACAACTTTTTTTTCACTCAGCGCTTGAAAGTCTCTCATCTGCGCAAGGCTATACAGCGCAGGTTGTGTTCCTATTCCAAACTTTTCACGGCTTCCATAGCTGTGCGCAGCAGCGAATTGTAGAAACCCTGTCGGCGTTCGATGTTGCCCGCAGGCGGCACCGACTGGGTCACACGGTCTGGCGCACGGACTGGTGCCACCGCATCTGCGGCCGCTCCAGCGCCCGCTTTCGCCACGGGAGGGGGCGCGCTCTTTCCCGTGGAGTCCTTCTTCTGCTCCGCGGAGCGAGGCTTTCCTTTGGCATCTTGTGAAAGCTCCTGTCTTGGCTTCTTGGCTGCTTCCTTGCCCGCAGGCGAGGAATCCTCATAATAGCTGTACGAGTATTCCTCCGACTCCGGCTCACGAGCTCGACTCTTCTGCGACCCGTCTGCGCCATCCGGCGCGGCTCGACTGGCTTTCTTCTCTCCTTTCTTCTCTGGTGCCGAACGTGCTGGGGCGCGTGACCTCCTGTCTCGATCACGCTCCTCCCCCTTCGCGTTGGACCCGCAGGTCACGACGCGACCACATTTATCGATTTCAATGCCATCGTCCCAGCGTCCCGACCGGTTCCAAATTCGGCCATCTCTGTCCACTTCATATGCACCATACGTCTTGCGTCGGTCACGGCGCGAGATGGATCGCTCCCGGTACCGGGTTCGATTCCGGCCGCTTGAGCGCGCACGCTCACGGCTGCAATGCTTCTTCGAAGCAGCGGGTCCGTGTTGCTTCCAACTCGGCTCCCCGCGGGGTTCCGGTGGAGGCTCCCGACCGCGGGACTTTGCGTTCTCCTTCAGCTCCAACGTCTTCGTCCCCTTAGCCAGGTCAGCTTGCGCCCGTGCGCGACAAGTCTTCTCATCCCCATAGCCACTGTACTGATACCGCTTGGTGCGGCAATGCAGCGAGTGCCAGTGTTGTTCCTTGGCACATTCATTGTCGGCAATGACCCGCCAACAGTGCGGACACTGAAAGGTGTCGGGATCACCTGCCTGCCGTCGATTGGCGACAGCGCCACTTCCCCTTGACCTTCTTTGCTTCTCTTCGTCCGGTGGAAGCGCTTTGCCAGCATCTTCCTTGCGTATCTCTTGCCCGCTGGCGTTTGTTTCCGCCGCCGGCCCGGTGCCGCCCGCAGGCGACGATCGCCTGGTAGGACTTCGTCTCCCAGAACGGCTTCTTTCGGAGCTCGACGACGCCATCGCACCTGTGCCGGGGAGGGAACAACATTGAGACTTACACACACATACATATAATTGCAACATTATTCCATGCAGAGAACAGAGGGCACCAGCTCCAATATTCGAAGGGGATATACTAATATCATTACAGCGAGGTAGTTATACTATATAAAAGAACTGGTATATTAGAACCATGGCCACGGAAGAAGGTGCAGGACAATCACCATGGCATCATGGCGGCAGGCCCAGCTGCTTGCCCGCAGGCGAAGCACTGCCACGCGGCCCGCAGGCCAAGCTGCTTGCCCGCAGGCGAAGCACTGCCACGCGGCCCGCAGGCCAAGCTGCTTGCCCGCAGGCGAAGCACTGCCACGCGGCCCGCAGGCCAAGCTGCTTGCCCGCAGGCGAAGCACTGCCACGCGGCCCGCAGGCCAAGCTGCTTGCCCGCAGGCGAAGCACTGCCACGCGGCCCGCAGGCCAAGCTGCTTGCCCGCAGGCGAAGCACTGCCACGCGGCCCGCAGGCCAAGCTGCTTGCCCGCAGGCGAAGCACTGCCACGCGGCCCGCAGGCCAAGCTGCTTGCCCGCAGGCGCAGCACTGCCACGCGGCCCGCAGGCCAAGCTGCTTGCCCGCAGGCAAAGCAGTGCCACACGGCCCGCATGCGCAGCATCCCGATACTGTATACCATATCCAATATCATATATATATATATATATATTATATATATATTATATCAAAAACACAACGATGACTGGCCCGGCCTCGTTCGCCCACGCGAAAGTCCGGGAAACCGCACCCCGCGCGCGCACCTCCGGACATTGAGCCGAAAAAAACCAATCATATAGATGTGGAAGCCCGTTTTGGAGAAACGAGCGTCTCCTCTGTGACAATTTCATTTCCGAGCAGCAATGACTGGCAAGAAAGAGACCGCGGCTGTTTTCAAAAATCCCCCATGCGCATCACGGGTCAGAGAGCAAAGCGGCCTGGAACAGTCTCAGAAGTCTGTGTCGCAAATGTACAAAAACATTTGGGCAGCATGCAGCACATCCCCTGCATAAACCATATCCATGTCCTTGTCGGCCGTAGCCTTCTCTTCCATGGCCTGCAACTCCTCGTAGACAGGGCAATCCTCCATATTGATGTCTGAGCGCTCATCGAAGGCCTGAATAAGCTCACGAGCGGCTGTGAGCGCTTGGCGACGCCACGGCTGCAACGTCAAAAGATCAGTCTCTTGACTTGCAGCAGCCTTGGCGTCGCCACCGTCATCTTCATCCATCTTGCGCTTCATGCCTGCCTTCTCATCAGAGTCTTCCGGCACCGCATACAACTTTTGCAGAATTGGGGACGGAAAGCTAGCAGCTTTCTCCCCGCAAACCAAATGCACAGAGCCATCGGTGTCTGTGCTCGCCACCACGTGCTTGGCTTCCATGGCTTCGGCAAACCGATGTATACTGTAATATGCGCCACTGTGAAGTCCTTGATCAAAAGTCTGCAAAAAAAAAGAAATGATCACCACCAGATCCCAAAAGAAAACCACAAAGTTTCAGTGTGGAAGCGAAAGGCAAGGAACAAGAGAAGCCTCTTTTTGGATGCTCACCATCGTAGTGTCTCTGTCGAAGCAGTCCCTCGTCCAAAATCCGCAGCGCCGAGCATATTCTCTATGAGTTCAAGCTAAGCGATAACCTCGCTTCAGCCAGCAACTTGGACAGCAGCCTGGTTTGTTGCGACACGTGGGGCAGCCATGGGGCCGCCACTTCATCCGTTGCTGCTGCGTCACGAGCGGAATTGTCTTCAAAGTTGCACCTGAGGACTTTGAAGCCGGCCGCTTGCAGCTAGCGGCACATTCTGCCTTGGCAGGCTTCTTCATAGGCTGGGCACTGGCAGGTCGCATCATAGCCCCACCCACAGGCGCAGCTGCAGATGAACTTGGCTCCACAGATGCCGCACCCGTTGCGCTGACCGCAGGACGCTTCCGCGGACGTCCCTTGGCCGCGGCAGGTCGCTTCATTCCACCTTTCCCATCTGGCAATGCTGTCGGTAATTCTTTGTCATAATAAGATTGCGCCAGACGCACCATAGCAGCCTCCACCAGATTCGGCACTGTGCCTCCTCCAGCTGCTTCAGGGGAAGGCGTTGCCGGTGCATCAGTCAATGCCAGCGGAGGCGTGGCTGCGGGCATCGCAGGCGTCTGCTGTACTTCCGATACTGCCTCCGGCGGCTGACACACCGACTGATCAGATGAAGTCTGTGCAGGCAATGCTGCCGGCATAACCGCACTAGGCTGAGCATCGGTTAATGCCAGCAGAGGCCTTGCGGATGACGCAGACTCACCCATGGCGGTTGCTGTCTCCTCAACGCCCTGCGCAGCAGACTGGGAGCGCTCGAGCAAAGCATTCAAGCCACCACTGGGCGCAGTTGGGCCATTTTTCGGTGCACCGAGGATTTGCAAGTTAGTCAGCTCCCCCGCAGACGGGCGTGCAGACTGGCCAGCTATAGCGGTAGCCATGGCCATTGCCGCCTGAGCCATCTGCGCAGTATGCATCATCTGAAATGCAGCAACGGACCCCTGCTGGCCACCTCCTAAGAACTGACCGTGCTGGTCCATTTGCCTCTGCAATTGCGCCTGGCGATTCGTCGACCGCAAAGGGATGCTGCGCGCCAAGCGCAAAATCTCTTGGTGATCCATGCTGGCAGGGATCGGGGCGAAGCCGTGGGGCGCGGCTGCCTGACGCGCTGCCACAGGCAGCTCGTCGACATTGTTCGGTAGCACTTCAATGTATACATTTCCCGGCAACGGCGTTGACTTCAGCCGTGCACGGGCCGTTGCAGTTCTTAAAACGCTCTTCACAGTGACAAACAAGGATTGCAGCTGCATGACACTTTGCTCTGCGCCTGCAGCGCACACTGCTGTAATGACAGCAACAGTCGGCTCACTGGGATGCCGCAGTCCCAGTGTCCCGACTAAATGGCCAACAACTGCGTCCACGCGCTGCAACGCCGAAGGAGCCGGCTCGGCCAGTAAAGTGTCCCATAGAGATTGACTAAAAAAAAGACAGCAAGATTTGTAATCTTGCATGGCGGACCTTTGCGCAGTACCATTTTCTGCAGCTGCCATGACGATTTCGAAAAAAACTCCCTTTGAGCACTGAAAAACTATCATGGCATACATGACTCAAAATGAGCAACAAAAAAAAGCTAACTCGCGTAACTTCGATAACTTCATTTTATCTTTTTCCTTGGGATAGTATAACTTATGTTATAACTCCACATCTCATGTTATAAATTCAACATAATTTATTCAAGTTAACCCATGTTATAACTTATGTTAACCCATGTTATAAATCATGTTGCAGAGGATATAAGTCAAGTTATAACTCGGGGGCATCACAATGTATGTATATATATATACATACACATGTATATGTTATAGATATGTAGTAATCCTGAAGTTCTGAAGTAGATTATGGATTTCTCGAAGCCATTATCATTTTGACAGTTTACTGTTTGACATTTCCATATTCTTTTTGCTCCAGCATGATTGCTTGTGTACATATATATATATATACATACATATATCTCTGTGTGTGAATTGCGCATACAGGCCGCGAGGGGTTCACCCTGCTGAACATGGCTACAAGACATTACAAAAGAACCAGAACTATTGGACCAACGAACAGGGCAAACGCTATTTTCGAGGATTAGTCATCAATTCGGCAACTTGTTTGTTTAACCAATAAACGTGGCTACAGAACCACTCAAGATTCGGACGCAACCAACCACCCTTGAGAGCTTTGGACGGCAACTATGCGGGTGCTGGCCAAAAACGAATTGAGGATTGTCCCAGATTGGTTTAATTCAAAATCTAGACTCTAAAGGACACCCAATTTGGCATTTCCTGCAAGTTTTTCCTTAGAGCAAATAAATTTCAATCTGAACCAATCCAATCCAAAATCTGGTGTTTTTGCCATAAGAGTATTCACGTCGCTTCGCGACGGCAACCGCCCGCACCGCATCGTTGGGCAGCCGCTCGTAACTGCCAATGATGTCGGCCATTGAGACCAAAAACATCCGAAAGTACTGATTGTCGGAAAAAAAAAAACGCGAAGAATTTGATAGCCATGTATAGCGGACCAACGCAGTTCAAAAAATAACGAAAAACATGAAAAAACGGCGAAATTGCTGTTATTTACAGTGTTTTTGCGCGGTGAGAAGCAGAAACCACTGCAAATACCATGGTTTTTGAGGGTCAGGTGGCCAAAAACTCTGTAATTTACAGTGTTTTTTTAACCAACGTCAAAAAACACTGGTATTTACGATGTTTTCATTCACACCGTAACATAAAACAGCGTAATTTACGAGGTTTCTGGAAGTTTTGAAGCTAGCCGTCAAGCATGCAGAAAACAGAAAAACACTGTAAAAACCAGTGTTTCTGCTATCACAAAACGACGAAAATCAGTCCGAAAACGGGTCCAAAAACTCAAAAATCCGCTTCCGGGCCCGGCCACCTGCGGAACCGCAAAAAAAGATGTTGCAAACCAAAAAATTGAGGTCAAAAAGTTGAAAAACACGGGTTTTTTTTCACTTTTCGCTTGCCGATTTTGGACGGGCGCGTTCACGAACAGGTGTCTTCCGTACTGTTTTTTACAGTGTTTTTTGAAGGCGAGCGTCACGACCTATCAAAAACAGGAGGTTTTGGCCGAAAAATGCCCCCCCCCCCAGGTAAACCTGTAACCTTTTACGAGTGCCATCCGGAAGATCACGCCCCAGCACCTTCGGTGCGGGCGGATTTAAGATTAGCCATGAATATGGAAACCCCAAATCAGAGATCTTTGCCAGCTTCAACTCCGCCTGTCGGAGACCCCGCCAGGATCAAAACCGTAGTGGCAATCCCTTGACAGAGCCCATGCTGCGGTAGATTTGGCCAGGTCATTTGCGATGGCCAACGGTGGCCCATCCGCTTTCCCGGGAATATTTGTTGCTTCCTCCAACAAAGCCACATGAAACCCACCCAGCAAGGCTTCAGGTGAATCACAAAGAACGAAGTCAACAAAGTTGCCTAGTCCAGACCTTCTCAGAACGTGAGCTATTGAATATGGCAAAGCCTATGCTATAAACCATACCCCATGCACCGAAGTTCACCAATGAAAGGGATCATTGGGGCCTATGAAGAAAACTAACCCCAAAATAAAATTGGTCTATTCTTACAGGTTCAATTCATGAACTGGAAAGGTGATTGACTAATCCCATCCTCCCAGTGACATGTTGACTGTTTTTGCGGCTCCCAATATTAAACACCTCCAAAATTGGCTCGATTTTTCTGTAAAAACCTATTAGACCATGGTATACCATGGTCTCTTTTGATGTTGGGTAACTTTTTCTGGGCCAACGCATATGCTATGCCGGGGCACACTAGCCCATGCTGGTTTCGGTGATCCAGGATGGTGCTAAAGAAAGATGGGCCAACGGTTTTCTATTCTGGAATATCCACAGTCAATTAAATATAAATATAACACACACACATATATATATAGACAATTTACCCACACACACACGTATATGTATACATATATATTTGTACATATATTTCTTTGTATAAGGACAATCACAACAATAATCAAAGGACGTTTAGGGGAGAAACTTCCGTGTTACGGACTTTTAGAATGTCAGGGACAGAGTTAGTCAAAGAAAGAGTTAGTCAAAGAAACAGTTAGTCAAAGAAAGAGTTAGTCAGGGAAAGAGTTAGTCAAAGAAAGAGTTAGCAAAGAAACAGTTAGTCAAGGAAAGAGTTAGTCAAAGAAAGAGTTAGTGAGGGAAAGAGTTAGTCAAAGAAAGAGTTAGCAAAGAAAGAGTTCGTCAGGGAAAGGGTTAGTCAAAGAAAGAGTTAGTGAGGGAAAGAGTTAGTCAAAGAAAGAGTTAGTGAGGGAAAGAGTTAGTCAAAGAAAGAGTTAGTCAAAGAAACAGTTAGTCAGGGAAAGAGTTAGTCAAAGAAACAGTTAGTCAGGGAAAGAGTTAGTCAAAGAAAGAGTTAGTCAAAGAACAGTTAGCCAGGGAAAGAGTTAGTCAAAGAAAGAGTTAGTCAGGGAAAGAGTTAGTCAAAGAAACAGTTAGTCAGGGAAAAAGTTAGTCAAAGAAAGAGTTAGTCAAAGAAAGAGTTAGTCAAAGAAAGAGTTAGTCAAAGAAAGAGTTAGTCAAAGAAAGAGTTAGTCAAAGAAACAGTTAGTCAAAGAAACAGTTAGTTAAAGAAAGAGGTAGTCAAAGAAAGAGTTAGTGAGGGAAAGAGTTGGTGAGGGAAAGAGTTAGTCAAAGAAAGAGTTAGTGAGGGAAAGAGTTAGTCAGGGCATTGTGATTTGCAACTGTAGGATCGTTCCCGCAATGTAAATGGGATTGCAAGTGGTGCTGGTGGATGAGTTGCCGATGGAGTTTTGAAGGAAGTCTCGCACGAAATGCGTTTTTGAGAGATAGCAGATGCACGAAACCCTGTGTTTTTCCAGACAAAGTGCGTCCCCGAAAACGTCGATGATCTACCTCTGCGGTGCGACGGGTGCGAGACGGTCTCGTGTGTGGTCGGATCATTCTCGGATATTCTCGGATCGGTTCCGCATTGTAAATGGGGTTTCAACTGTTTTTCGTGCATGTGTGGTCGACAGAATTCCATTGTGATTTGCAACTGTAGGATCGTTCCCGCATTGTAAATGGGGTTGCAAGTGGTGCTGGTGGATGAGTTGCTGATGGAATTCCATTGTGATTTGCAACTCTAGGATCGTTCCCTCACTGTAAATGGGATCGCAAGTGGTGCTGGTGGATGAGTTGCCGATGGAGTTTTGAAGGAAGTCTCGCACGAAATGCGTTTTTGAGAGATAGCAGATGCACGAAAGCCTATGTTTTTCCATACAAAGTCCGTCCCCGAACCTCGATGATCTACCTCTGCGGTGCGACGGTTGCGAGACGGTCTCGTGTGTGGTCGGATCATTCTCGGATCATGCTCGGATCGGTTCCGCATTGTAAATGGGGTTTCAACTGTTTTTCGTGCATGTGCGGTCGACAGAATTCCATTGTGATTTGCAACTGTAGGATCGTTCCTGCAATGTAAATGGGATTGCAAGTGGTGCTGCTGGATGAGTTGCCGATGGAATTCCATTGTGATTTGCAACTGTAGGATCCTTCCCGCAATGCAAATGGGATTGCAAGTGTTGCTGGTGGATGAGTTGCCGATGGAATTCCATTGCGCTTTGCAACTGTAGGATCGTTCCCGCAATGTAAATGGGATTGCGGTTTGCGGCTCAGTCTTTGCAGATCGTGTCAAGGTTGCTTCCTGCTTTGGCTGCATGCGTAATACTATTGTCTTTTGCAGCTGGGCTTCGTAAATCGTATCAGAGTGGCTGCATGAAGGCTGCGACAATGATTTGTCAGCAGATTTTCTCCATTTTGGTGCTAGTGATTTTCCTTCTAAATTTTTTTTTAAAAGTGCTTCAAAATCGTCTTTTTTTCGCTCTGGCGTCGAGATCCCGGTTTTGGAGCTACAATTTCCGACACCGTTGCGCGTAGTTCTATTGTGTTTTGCAACTCAGTCTCAGCAGATCACATTGTAGTGGCTGCGTCAAGGTTGCTTCCTGCTTTGGATGCATGGGTAATACTATTGTCTTTTGCAGCTGGACTTCGTAAATTGTATTGGAGTGGCTGCATGAAGGCTGCGACAGTGATTTGTCAGCAGATTTTCTCCATTTTGGCGCTAGTGATTTTCCTTCTAAAAATCCTTTTAAAAAGTGCTTCAAAATCGTCTTTTTTTCGCTCTGGCGTCGAGATCCCGGTTTTGGAGCTACAATTTCCGACGCCGTTGCGCGTAGTTCTATTGTGTTTTGCAACTCAGTCTCTGCAGATCGCATTGTAATGGCTGCGTCAAGGTTGCTTGGTGCCGCGGCTGCATGCGCAATACTATTGTCTTTTGCAACTGGACTTCGTAAATTGTATTGGAGTGGCTGCATGAAGGCTGCGACAGTGATTTGTCAGCAGATTTTCTCCATTTTGGCGCTAGTGATTTTCCTTCTAAAAATCCTTTTAAAAAGTGCTTCAAAATCGTCTTTTTTTCGCTCTGGCGTCGAGATCCGGTTTTGAAGCTACAATTTCCGACGCCGTTGCGCGTAATTCTATTGTGTTTTGCAACTCAGTTTCTGCAGATCGCATTGTAGTCGCTGCGTCAAGGTTGCTTCCTGCTTTGGATGCATGGGTAATACTATTGTCTTTTGCAGCTGGGCTTCGTAAATTGTATTGGAGTGGCTGCATGAAGGCTGCGACAGTGATTTGTCAGCAAATTTTCTCCATTTTGGCGCTAGTGATTTTCCTTCTAAAAATCCTTTTAAAAAGTGCTTCAAAATCGTCTTTTTTTCGCTTTGGCGTCGAAATCCGGTTTTGGAGCTACAATTTCCGACACCGTTGCGCGTAGTTCTACTATGTTTTCCAACTCAGTCTTTGCAGATCGCAATGTAGTGGCTGCGTCAAGGTTGCTTGGTGCCGCGGCTGCATGCGCAATACTATTGTCTTTTGCAGCTGGACTTCGTAAATCGTATTGGAGTGGGTGCATCAAGGGTGCGACAGTGATTAGTAATAGTGCTGGGAATTGATTAATGAAAGCTTAATAGATGACAAATGAGAAGGACGAGGTGAGAAGAGATGAGCTGGGATAAGGTGAGAAGAGCTCAGATGAGATGAAGTGTGGAGTGTGAAGAGTGCAGTGTGAAGTGTGGGGCGTGAAGAGTGCAGTGTGAAGTGTGAAGTGTGAAGTTTGGAGTGTGAAGGAAGCAGTGAGAAGTGAGAAGTGTGAAGTGTGGACTGTGAAGTGTGGAGTGTGAAATTTCGAGTGCAAAGAGTGCAGTGTGAAGTGTGAAGTTTGGAGTGTGAAGGAAGCAGTGAGAAGTGAGAAGTGTGAAGTGTGGACTGTGAAGTGTGAAGTGTGAAATGTGGAGTGTGAAGTGAGAAGTGTGAAGTGTGAAGTTTGGAGTGTGAAGGAAGCAGTGAGCAGTGAGAAGTGTGAAGTGTGAACTGTGAAGTGTGAAGTGTGGAGTGTGAAGTGCAAAGTGAGAAGTGTGAAGTGTGAAGTTTGGAGTGTGAAGGAAGCAGTAAGAAGTGAGAAGTGTGAAGTGTGGACTGTGAAGTGTGAAGTGTGGAGTGTGAAGTGCGAAGTGAGAAGTGTGAAGTGTGAAGTTTGGAGTGTGAAGGAAGCAGTGAGAAGTGAGAAGTGTGAAGTGTGGACTGTGAAGTGTGAAGTGTAGAGTGTGAAGTGCCAAGTGCGAAGTGTGAAGATTGGACTGTGAAGGAAGCAGTGAGAAGTGAGAAGTGTGGACTGTGAAGTGTGAAGTGTGAAGTGTGGAGTGTGAAGTGCGAAGTGAGAAGTGTGAAGTGTGAAGTGTGAAGTACGAAGTGTGAAGTGTGAAGTGTGGACTGTGAAGTGTGAAGTGTGAAGTGTGGAGTGTGAAGTGCGAAGTGTGAAGTGTGAAGTTTGGAGTGTGAAGGAAGCAGTGAGAAGTGAGAAGTGTGGACTGTGAAGTGTGAAGTGAGGAGTGTGAAGTGCGAAGTGAGAAGTGTGAAGTGTGAAGTTTGGAGTGTGAAGGAAGCAGTGAGAAGTGTGAAGTGTGGACTGTGAAGTGCGAAGTGTGGAGTGTGAAGTGCGGTGAAGTGAGAAGTGTGAAGTGTGAAGTGCGAAGTGTGAAGTGTGAAGTGAGAAGTGTCGAGTGCGAAGGAAGCAGTGAGAAGTGTGAAGTGTGGACTCTGAAGTGTGAAGTGTGGACTGTGAAGTGTGAAGTGGGAAGTGTGGACTGTGAAGTGTGGAGTGTGAAGTGTGGACTGTGAAGTGTGAAGTGTGGAGTGTGAAGTGTGGACTGTGAAGTGTGAAGTGTGGACTGTGAAGTGTGAAGTGTGAAGTGTGGAGTGTGAAGTGCGAAGTGAGATGTGTGAAGTGTGAAGTGTGAAGGAAGCAGTGGGAAGTGAGAAGTGTGGACTGTGAAGTGTGAAGTGCGGAGTGTGAAGTGCGAAGAGCGCAGTGTGAAGTGTGAAGTGTGAAGTGTGAGGTTTGGAGTGTGAAGGAAGCAGTGAGAAGTGTGAAGTGTGGAGTGTGAAGTGTGGACTTTGAAGTGTGGAGTGTGGTGTGTGAAGACTTTGCTTCGTCTCTCGCTGAAAAAAAAAGCCGCTTGTCGAGGGAAGGACACGGTCGGGACAGGTTGTCTTCGAACTATAGGTCATTTATTGTTGGGAAACTTCCGCCGCCGGCTTGCCCGGGTCTATGTTAATTATGTACATATACATATGTATACATACATGTTTGGTGGTTGACCCCTATTGAGCAACCAAGAGGTTGCATTTTTTCTTTCTCTGCGCCATGCTGTGCTTTTGGCCGATCTCGGGCTGCAAGCTTTCAACAGCACAGCGAAGCTGCTAGACAACTACAACTGCAACTACAACTGCAACTACAACTACAACCACACTACACTGCCACTGCAACTACAAATACAAAAACAAATATACCACGCTACAGTACACCAATTACACTACACTAGACTAATTACATTACACACACACTATAATTACAGTACACTACACTACATTACACTACACTACACTAGGCTACAACTATAACTGCAACTACACTACACTACATTACACAACACTACGCTACACCAATTACACTACACTACACTACAACTCCAACTACAGCTATAACTACAACTGCCACTACCACTACAGCTGCAACTACCACTACAACTACACTTCAGCTACGCTACAACTACAACTACAACTTCAACTACACTTCAACTATATACACTTCAACTGCAAAAACTACAGCTACAACTTCAACTACACTTCAACTACAACTACAGCAAAAACAACAACTGCAACAACTGCAACAACTACAACAACTACAAATACAACAGCTACAACAACAACAACAACAACACTGCAACTGCAACTGCAACTACAACTGCAGCGACCACTGAAACTTCAACTACACCACAACTACACTACAACTACAAATGCAACAACTACCACTACAACTACAACTACAATTACATTGCACTTCGCTACACCACACTACATCCTGCAGTTGTGGGTGAGGTGACCACTGCAACCAATCCAAAAATCACAACCACCTTTCGGTCCATCAATGGATTCGCTTTGCCATCCATGCATCACAACAACTCATCTTACAACTCACCTCTCCTATAGTTTCCTATCTTTGAAACTTCCGCCACCGCCTTGTGCGGTACTACTGGTAATGATGTACATACACATATGTATACATAGATGTTTAGTGGTTGGCCCCTATTGAGCAACCAAGAGGTTGCATTTTTTCTTTCTCTGCGCCATGCTGTGCTTTTGGCCGATCTCGGGCTGCAGCTGTCAACAGCACAGCGAAGCTGCTAGCGTTTGACCTCGGAGATCTTTGAGCCCCCAATGTGGGCCCTGAGATGGGTATGTCTCAAAATTGGATGCCCCCCATGCTTTATCAACACATGTTCACCAAGGATAGTAAAAGCATACAAGAAATTGGGAAACAGCACACCTCGACAAACCCAGATTTCAATTCTCTGGTTAGAAAGCGTTGAATTTCAGGCAAAAAGACGTGACCTGCAGACTTTTACTGAGCCGAAGTATGTGGATACGCAGGTGCAGGGTAAACCCTTGATGGGTAGTGTCATGTTTTAATGATTTGAATGTGTAGAAATTTGTTGCCATACATGGGAACATGCTCGCGGTACTAGCCAGTTTGTTTTGGAGGCTATCTCAGATCGTCCTGGTGTGCCCATTCCCCCTGTGTTACCCAACTAGGGGTTTATCAATGTTGGCCTGATCCTGGAGGAACTCGGAAACTCCAGGAAACTCCTACGTTTGGATGTTCAAACCATGGGTTTGCTCCAGGTTTTGCCTTCAAAATCACCCCACCAATGACGGCCGAACAACCGGTCCTTAGGAGACACGTCGCTGCGAGCGACACAGCCGCGTGCTCTATGTGAAACGCTTGTCAGGTCAGCTGTGGACCATTGTGGACCGCTTGGGGGTGCCCCAACAATTCCACAAGTAAAGTCTTCCAGTGCTGGGAAAACAGACTGAGCCTCTTGTGTTAGACTGTGGCCAACTGACTGGATCATTCGGTTGGTGGTCTCAAACAATTTTTGCCCTACATGATAATGTTTTTAGGGAAACACACAGCCAGTCATAGAAAAATCCATGGTCAGCCATGGTCTCCCGGTAGAGATTTTGATCGTTTTCAGGACTTCACTTTCTCTCCATGTTGGACGTGCTCGAAATTCGACTCATGTTGATACATGATCCACCATTTCTATCCATTTCTCAGAAGGAATTGGGCATAGTTTTCGCCCCGGGGGCACTGAATAAAGCGATTCATTATTTCGCAGCTAGCAAAACTCTATATATTACCATCTAGTAAACTAACGTAACTATGGGAAATCACCATTTTTAATGGGAAATTCCACTATAAATCACCATTTTCAATAGCTATGTTAAATTACCAGATGGTAATGGCAGTGTTGGAGCTATGACCTTGGCCAAAAACCGTAGTTTTTGGTGTCCCGAATGTGGGCTGCAGGTGGCACCATAGAGATTCCCATGGGAAATTGGGAGGTGGGTCTATGGCATTTTGGCGGCAGCGGCACAGATGTTTTTGAGCAGGCAGAAGATTGATTTTTCCATATGGCAGTGTGTCAAAACCTTGTACCCCTGGTGAACATCAAAATAGCTGGTAAATGGATGTTCATCCCACTAAAAATGGTATGTATAGGTATTGATCCATAGCCATATTTTACCCTGGGATCTGGGGGAGTATTAAGCACCATTCCCCCAAGAAAGGGGGTTTGTCATTCGCTTTGCCACCTTATTCACTGTTTTTTTTTGGCTAAAATATCAGACATAATTAAAGGTTTGTTCTACTTCAGGGTGCCCGCGTGCAAGAGCTGGTTCTCTCCGCCCCAAGTACCATCTCATCCATTTCCTTTGTGGGAGAGGTTTAAACGACTTCCTCTTTGGACATCTCAGACATCTCTTTGACTTCGGCAGAGCATCTGGACCTCAATGTTTCTTGGGTTCCCATCAGGGAAATTTCGTAGCTGACCCCAAAAGCCTGGAACCCGCTGAGGTACAAATGCCGGGTGCACGAGTTGACTGGAATCCCTTTGAGTTCCTTGGTTGAAGATGTCGCCTCTTTCCGGAGAAGCCCACTGGCGAATGATAGGTTCATGGGCGTGCGAGCACTATTGATACCTACTGATATTTCGGAGGCATATTGCGTTCAAAACCGTCCAATTTTTGGTTGACATCCAAATTTCGATTGGCTTACTACAGTAAACCTTTAAGATCCTTTAAGTTTGCGATGATACAGCCGATTAGCTTTACTGAGACTCCTTCGCGACCGTTGTGCCATCCCAAGTAGGAGACATTAAGCTGATCTTTGCCGGAGCACTTCTGCCAGACGACCGGCGACACAGTGGACCCCCAGACCTGGGGAGCCACGGGGATTTTCAGGCCAATGGACCCCCAAAATAAGGAGTCGATACCACTACATACCACAATTTTCACGGGGAAATTGACATCTAACAATACGACTTTGGGATGCCCTATATTAAAACAAGAAATGAAAATTTGGCCGAGGCAGCTCTGGGGAAAGCGGGCGCTGCATTAGGACATCCTCCATTTGGAATTTGGAGTTCTTATCCCGGTTTTCTTGTCAAACGGTTTTTTTTCCCTATCAAAGACCCACCATTTTCCAGTTCTCTGAGGCGGTTTGCAGAAGGGTAGTACCTTGCACCTCGTGGACAGCGTGGCGCTGGGGCTGGGTTCACAGTGGCCAGAAACTGCCTACGTTTGCTGATGGCTTTCTGATGCTTTCTGGGCTTCGTTCCGTACCTGATTAATCTGGGAAAACCATGGAAAACTAAGAATAACCCATCCATTTAGGAAGATTAGGAAGGGTTTATTCTTGTTTTACCCACATTAAGTGATATGAAGTGCGGCTTGTGGTCCTCCATGTTTCCTTGAGGCCACTGCCCTAAGCCTTCACGGAAGGTGCGTTCCAAGTTGCTGTGATCAAAACGGCCGCTGCAGCCATGCACGCGAGACTGGGATCAATGATTAATGTATATGAATGTTAATCCAGGATTCACAATAATCCATAGTTTATTGATAATTACCCCAGTTTATCACTATTTCGCGGGGATATACCCCCTCAATTAATAGTCAGGGTATGTCGGGGTTATTGATCCGTGGTTGACATTCTTATGACATCTGATGACGCGTTACATAGAATATGTTAGAACCCAGTCGCTACCGCTAAGTACTGAGTTCAGGTATCATGCCAGTAATCCCACAGCAGAAAATTATATCGGAACTTTCGTCCTGTCAACAGTGAACGGCCAAGTTGGAAGGATGGATTACCGAGGAGTTCAAGCCAAAAAAACACCCAAGGTCTCAGGAGCTGTTCGGAGCGGTTCGGTGGCAACCAGTGGTATGCATCTTCCATCATATTCGCCATGAAAAGTAGGGAGCCATATATGGAGCCATGAAACTAGGAATTGAGCTTCCCAACCACATGATTTCAATGACCAACCGAACTTCCATCTGTGGTTGCCGTAGCCGCGGCCCAAAATCACGCGCCGTTTTTGGGGCGTGGAGCGTGTGCGGAAAGGCATTTTTGGGGCGCTTCGAAACGGGAATTGGCACCCCATGCTGAGCAACATGTGACGATTTGTTCAGTTGGGAAATCAACTAATTCCTTCCCCACTAATTCACCTGCGAAGATTTTGCCAATATTAGATAATATTAAATTATATAGGATGATGGGATTCGAGGAATGAAGTTACTGTAGTAGTTCGGCCGTAGTCCAAGATTAGATTCATCAAGCAATTGAACACGAGCATCAGGTGTATCAGGAAAACTATGGAAAACAGCTTTTTTGTTGCTGATTCCAGTTAAGGTCTCACGCCTGCCCGAATAAAATTGGCCACAACCAAACAAAGCAACCAAACAAAGGCTCAATGTCGCTCTACCAATTAGCAATATATATTTAGCAATATATATATATATATTTAGCAATATTTAGCAATATTTGGCCCTGGATATGGGAGTTGGCTTCCCTCCGCAGAAAGGCTCAGGCCGCCCATGTTTTTCTTTGCGCCAGCGGAACCCCATGTGGCGCCGCGATCCATATGCTGCCGTCATCCTCTTCGTCATAACTCGGGCTGCGGCCCTGAAGGTCTTAGATGTGGGTGCCCCCCGCACCGGCACGCAGACGCTCCAAAAAGCCCTGGGGGTTTTGGGGCTGACCACGCTTCACACGGGGCTCAACCAGAGCTTTCGAGTGCCCTTCTGTGCTTGGATGCTGGGGGGTAAGGCGTGGAAAGCGCCGGTGCACATGTTGGATCGCTTTGATGCAGCCATGGATGAACCCATGCAGCTGATCTACCCGGAAGTGATGGAAGCATTTCCTGAAGCCAAGTTCATCTACACTGTGCGTGAGCCAGAGGCGAGATCATGACAGTAAATGACAAGACACACACACACACAGAAGCACACACACACATATATATATAATTATATATATATAAATAATCACATAATAAATATCATACTCGTATATACGTATATGTATACAAGAGAGAGGTATCTAACAGATTTCCATTTGAGGATGGGTCAAAATTGGGCTCTAAAGCCCAAGAGCATCCCAAATCTATAAGTCCCTTCAGAAAATGACTTACTTGAAGCCCTTGAAGCCCGTAGCTATTGCAGCTATTGATTATATTGATTAGGGTAGCTGTTTTGAGTGATCTGTCCCAAAAAATGCCACCAGATTCCTAAGCAAACAGGATTGGTTCGCCTCGTATGACTCCGTCATGGCTGATTTGCGAAGACAAACCGGCATGAAAAGGAGGACCGAAAACTCCAAGAGGTTGCGCTCCCACCCGCAGCCGTCGCAGCCCTTAGCTCCGCTCGTGGAGAAGATCATGGAAGCTACGGATAAGTGGGAGTCCTGCAACGGCTGTGACTGGGCAGATTTGAAACACAGACTGAAGTAGATTCAGAACTTTTTAGATGGTTGGAAGAAACCACCAATATTTTCCTGTTTTGCATTATTTCCTTGCTTTAAGCACCCAAATTTTAGAAGTTTTTTGGAGGTCACCGCCCCAAAGTAATTCGATCAGCCGTTGATTTTCTCATGTAGAAACAGGGTGATCAACGGGCTGATTTGATAAAAGAATCCGAGTATTTCCCATGACTTTTCGGGTGATTTGGTTATATTATATGCCGTATATGCCTTACCCTCTGGTAATGACTAACATAGCTATTGAAAATGACCATAGAAATAGTGGATTTCCCATAAACAATGGTGATGGTAAATTTCCGGGAGAGTTGGCCCATTGGCCCCAGATGGCCCCAGGTCACTATTGGGGCTGCAAGTTTGGGACCCCAGAGTCGGAGGATGTGAAACCGCAATGTCTCAAGTCCTACCAGGACCACTTCAACCAGGCGGATCAGGGCATGGGTCCCATGGCTAGTGGGCACCTCTACGGTGGAAGGGCTTGCCCATTGTTGCCCCCCATAGATATGTGAGAAATTGTGAGAATTTATCAGAACATGTCTAAACAATTCTAAACATATCAGTATAGCATCAAAACCATCATATTATAATATTCAAACACATGTATCAATGACATCTCCAGAAAAATGAGGTGTAAAAGACCAAAAACGCTTTTGCAGACCCCCAAAAAATGGTGGAGGTCCATGGGTCCATGAGCCCAATGTCAAGCCACAGAGGTGAAAGCCACGATTCCAGCTGACCGACTGTTGATCTACAATCTCACAGATGGATGGGGCCCGCTGTGCGAGTTTCTGAACAAACCCATCCCCAATCAGGACTGGCATCGAAAAGGACAACCACGCTGTATCCGACTGTATCCTGAAAAGTGCGTCAATGAAGCGGATTGCAATCAATATGTAATCATAACATATCATAACTGTTTCAAATAGACCTATGGTATCCTATGGTACTGTGAAGTCAGAATGATTAGGCTGTGATCTACAATCTATGGCTAGAAATTGGGCCATGACCTTGGGGGATTCAGGCCAGGGATGATTTGCCCATGGCCAGGGTGGGCGTTGCTTGAAATTCATCAACCATTCGTTACTCGGTGCAAGGCAGAAACCTACGGGAGTCTCGACAAACGGGTCATCTGCGCACATTGAAAGCGGGTCATCTGCGCACATTGCAAACGAGTCATCCGCGCACAGAGAAACCGGGTCATCCGCGCACATAGAGCGGTCATCCGCGCACATTGATGCTGGGTACCAGCCATTTAGGGTTTGGTTGGGGGGGTGGGGGGGACAAAAGCGTCATTGATGCTGGGAACAAGGGTGGGATCCATGGACTTAAATCATCACGTCGACTCAGCAATTTAGGGTTTGGTTGGGGGGGGCGGGGGGGACAAAAGCATTCATTTTCCTCTGCGCACAAAAGCACTGCACCTTGATCGCCTGTCATCTGAAGCACTGCACCTTGAACATAGTCTTGGGCAGGGGCGGGGGGGGGGACAAAAGCGTTCATGTTCCTCTGCGCACAAAATACTGCACCTTGATCGCCTGTCATCTGAAGCATTGCACCTTGAGTCCTGAACCGTCTGTGCCTATTTCATCACCGCCACCTTTTTTTTTTGCAAAAAGCTCCACCAAATGCTACACGAAAGCGGCTCTTGAGTGAGTTGAGTTGTGTGAGATGAGTGTGTGAGTTGTGAGATGAAAGGAGTTGTGTGAGATGAGTTGTGTGAAAGAACTTGGGTGAAGTTCAGTGAGAGGACACGAACGCAGCTCCACCAAATGCCACACGAAAGCAGCTCTTGAGTGAGTTGAGTTGTGTGAGATGAGTTGAGTGAGATGAGTTGTGTGAGTTGAGTTGTGAGAGATGAGTTGCGTGAGATGAGCTATGTAAGTTGTGAGAGGAGAGGAGTTGTGTGAGATGAGTTGTGTGCGTTGTGTGAGACAACTTGGGTGAAGTTGAGTGAGAGGAGGGGCAACGCAGGAGGAGAAGGAGGAGAAGGCACGGAATACAAGCCTAAAAACAAAAACCCACACAGAGATGTGAGGAAAAAACCACACAGTGATGAGTTGTGTGATGATGTGAAAAAAAGCAACAAGAAGAATCATGTTACAGAGATACAATGACAAAATCACACAAAAGTAACGTGCACAGACGACCAACGTCTGACGTGCACAAACGACCCACTTTTGACGTGCACAGACGACCCCCAACCTGTCGGGAAATTTACTTGTTTAGAACGCGCATGAGTTTCCTGCTTTTCACGGAGGACTTTCCCCATGAGGATTGGGTGCGGTCGGGCACGGAACGCTCCCTGCGCCGGGCCGGTTTACAGCCGACGCCCGAGCGAACGACGGAAAGCGCGGTGTCCAGCGTCGGCGTAGGGCTGGTGCAGCGCACAGCGAAGGCGCTGAAAGCGGAGCTGTGAGATGCCATGCATGGGCCGCTACTGATTGGCAATAGGGTGTATAGATGATTATAGATGCACATGCATAGAACATCATAGAACCCTAGCAACGGTGGTGACCCAGACATGAGAAAGGACATGTTAAAAAACAGCAGCCCTAATCTGGGCGGTGAGCTTCTGCTGGAGGGATGGGGCCACGCTTGGCAATAGGGTAGCTAGAGGAAGTGTGAACGGGGATGACCGAAATGTGTGTATGATTGTGTGACGATGTATACGGTGAAAAGAGAATGCAGGTATATTATATCATGTTATATGATATTAAACTTTTAAATTATATTATATTATGCACATGTTCATGTCCATATGTGTGCACATACAAAATACACATGTACAGCTCTAAGTACCAAGGGGATTGTACGCCCAAGGTCAATCAGCTCCTACTTTCGAGGCCTCCATGTAGCTGGTCCATGGGAATGATAGCAACATATGGCTAAGAATCAGCCGCAATAGCCGTAGAATTCTGTAAAGGGCTATTAAGAAGTACCATATTTTCAGATGGATGAAGATCCATAAACCCAAGCTATTTGAGGTTTTATGAGGTGTACCAGGGGTTTTACCCATACCTGTATTGCAATGATATCGCAATGATTGTGAGTACATAGTCTCAAGAGCCGCTTATGATTTGCATCGGGCTATTGGGGGCTAGATGGGGTTCACAGTGATCCAGTGATCCATGCGTTTGTGTGATTAGATATGATGGGGTGCCCTCAAATAGTGGTAATCTGATACTTCAATGGTACCACCCAATTAAGCAGCCTAGGCTACCTAGGGGTTTATTGGTCCAGGGCTGACACTACCCGCAGGCCACGCAGCTTGCGACAGTGCCAGTTCGTGAGTTTGGTCGCTAAGTTGGTTCAATTATAAATGTTTAGCTTAACCATGCTTAACAATTTATGGATTTTTACGGTAGATGTAAGTTCATGGAGTTTATTAGAACCAACATTGGGGGGCATTGTAAGTATAATCATCCTGGAATTGGTTTAACTGGAGACCATCTCCAGTTGCCGAAATCAAGCAATGGTGTATCGGGAAAACTGAGCGTTACATCTAGCGAATCCAACACCTACCCGAATCGAAATTGGCCAACCGAAATCGAACATAAACACTATTTCACACCAACAATTGATGATGGTGTGCCTGAGATCAGCGGGAAAGACGATGGCTCGTATTGGCTTCCCTCGATCCTGCGTAAAAGCTGGTGTAAACATGTATAAACTATAAACCACCAACGGGACTATAGCCCCACATTGCCCAACTGGGTGCTTTGTTCTTTGCTCTACCACATTCGAAGGTTTCAGGTTTCTCTTCCTCTGCACCTCTCAAGGCTCAGGCCAGCGAAGGAGATTCTATTTTTTTCCGCCGCGGGCCAACGGAACCCCATGTGGCGCGGCGGTCTATTTGGCGCTTCCATCATCCTCAGCTTCCTAATGCCAGCTGCCTCCCTGAAGGTCTGCGTGCCGCTGGTGCAGCGCACAGCGAAGGCGCTGAAAGCGGAGCTGTGAGATGCCATGCATTCATGGGCCGCTACTGATTGGCAATAGGGTGTATAGATGCACATGCATAGAACCCTAGCAACGGTGGTGACCCAGACATGTGAAAGGACATGTTAAAAAACAGCAGCCCTAATCTGGGCGGTGAGCTTCTCTTGCGCTTTGATTTTTGTTGGATGATCATCCTTTGATCACCCGATCCAAACGATCATAGGCCATAGGGATTCAACCAATTCCCAAGGTTGACTCGCCCAATAAGAAGGGTTTATTAAGGGCTTAACCAGCAAAAAATCGCGGCTTATGGATCATTTGTTGTTGGGCACGGTTGAATCCCCAAAACTTGGCATTTCTGTACAGAGAAGCCGTTGGAGAATCGGCGCAAAAAACGGCAGATGGTGCCAGGGTCATTCTAAAATCAGAAGAAATGTGCGGCGGATGATTGAAATCGCTCCCCAGGGCATAATTCTCTATAAAAGGATGTATATCCAGGCAGATGCTGCGGACTCCGGGATGGCAACATCGGAATGATTGGAATCATGGGAATACTTGGAATATCTTGGGCAACAGGAGGAACCGATCTCCCCTATTCAGTGCCCCCAATGTTTGGTTCGTTTTTGGAGGTATTTGAGATTAAACTCCACTGTGGTACCTTTTCCCCTCAACTTGGGGAGATTGTAAGCCATTGTAAGCAACCATGGATTAGAGCCCACCGCTTTGGCCCACGAACTCCCCGCGGCACTTCGGCTCAGAACTTCGCATCACGCTTGCCATGGCGACGATGTTGTGGATGCTATTTAGCCTCCTGGCTGGTATGGTGGGTGGTTTTCTTCAATCTAAATCTAAATCAGTTTTATTCTATGTTCCATCTTGAACGGTCTCCGAACATTGTTAAGGTCACAACTTTGGAGATAATATGCCGGCTTTGTTGTCCCTGTGGTAGACTTTGTTTCAAGGAAACACATCCGGAGACATATGCACACACACACACACGCACATATATATATATATATACATACATATACACATACATGTGCGTGTTATATTATTTTAAAGAGTGCGTAAAAAACATGGTTTCCACCAAACATCCGCCGGGGAACTGCGAGTTGAACCCCGTTTCCTCCATGTTTATTGGTTAAGCCACCATTTTTCTTGATCATATTCCAACTTTCTGTTGCTCAATTCACCTCAAAGATGTTCAAAGCTTAAATCCACAGCGTTTATCGATGAAAATCATAACTTTCCGTCCAGAATTGATGTGAAAACCGGAAATCTCAGCCATCCCAAGCTCTTCGAACCCCTTAAAAAATACCAAGCTTTCGTCAGAGAATTTCCAGGCGCAGCTTTGACGCCCACCTCGGGCGTCACGGCGGGCACGGGCGTCTTTGAGCCGTGGCTACAGGAGCTATGGAAACAGCCCACGGCGCAGGCGAGCTGAGATGGCGATGGCCGGAGGTTATTGATGTTATTGAGATGGGGACCCCAAAGCATCCCCAAACCACCTATTCATGGTTTAACAATGTTTTATAGATGTTAAACGAGGTTACAGATTATTGGTTTAAAATCCAAATCACTATAGATCTGTACCATAGTTTATAGATCACTATAGATCCAAATCACAATCCAAATCACTATAGGTTACAGATTATTATTATTGGTTTAGTATAGGATTTTCCAGAAACCATCCATTCTGGTGACCTGGTCTCAGCGATAGGCATTGGACCTGCGGGTAGCCAAGGTGCAGGGAGCCAAGGATCTTCCTGGATTGGGAGCGATGGGGAAATCTTCATCGGAAACGAAGGATTTTCCATAACTTTCCCATGATATATATATATATATATAATATTATATACATATATATAATATTATATATTATGTATATATATATAATATTAGGTGTTTTAATGTGTGTTTCCGAAGTACACCTTCCCTTCAATCCAATGTTCAAGGAGCTACGAATTGAGTTCCCTAAGATGATAGGTCAACATAGACCGGTGGAGACCCTTGCTGCATGATTTTCACCCTATTTCTGGTTGGTGGTTGAAAGCACCAAACATGGGCAAGGTACAAGGCTCTCAATTCATCTTCGAAACTGAATTATGGCAATGTTTTCAAGAGACCGTGCTTTACTCTGGGTAATCAAAATGACACCAGAGAAAAGAACACAGCATTGGGATATGGTTTACCTTTCAAAAAATTGGGATTTCACAATTGTTTGATAATAAGTGATAGTTTGCCGCATCGAACGCAATTGCACCTACTTTGGAGTTGGGTGGCATCGCTGACGCAGGAATTCAATCGTTCTACCGCCATTGTAAAGTATATCGTTATTTTTCCGATCAATTCGGGAGTTTCTATGCTGTACTCAGTACCCTTTCGTGTATCCTTTAACTTGCAGTGCAAGTGAGAAAAAAGTCATCATCATCATCATCATCACCACCAACATCATCATCATCACCACCATCATCATCATCATCATCATCATCACCATCATCATCATCATCACCACCATCATCATCATCATCACCATCATCATCATCACCACCATCATCATCATCACCACCATCATCATCACCATCATCATCATCACCACCATCATCATCATCATCACCACCATCATCATCATCATCACCACCATCATCATCATCCTCATCATCCTCATCATCATCATCATCCTCATCATCATCACCATCATCATCATCATCATCATCACCATCATCATCACCATCCTCATCATCATCCTCATCATCATCACCACCATCATCATCACCATCACCACCATCATCATCACCACCATCATCATCACCACCATCGTCATCATCACCATCATCATCATCATCATCACCATCATCATCATCATCATCATCACCACCATCATCATCATCATCCTCATCATCATCCTCACCATCATCATCATCATCGTCATCGCCGTGTGAGATGGTGAGAGTGTAGCTCCATTGAATCCATGGGAAGCTGCTCTCCACCTGCCACACCGATGGCCCAGGGCCTTGGCGCCAAAGGCTATGGCAAGGTGCGCATTTCAGCGCCTCGTCGGCAGCAGTCTCCGCGGTTCTTTTTTTAGCCGAGAGCGAACGGGAGCCAGGGATCAAAAACTGGAGGGGCCAACAATTTATGTATTATTATATATACTTCATCGATGTTTCTAAACATTGAAAAAAACGAGTTTCATGACTCGAACTTTTCACAAAAATCGGCAGCTGAAGGTGGTGGCTCCACAGCTGATGGAGCTTTCAGATTTCAATTTCACCTACAAGCAGCGCCTCAGGCAGCACTTAGAGCCGGGAAAACAGCTGGGCCGACCACCAAGAATGGAGTGGCTTGGGGATGGGGCACAATGAAGATCTAATTGCGATCGCTAGTGAGATATGGCAATGGAGAGAGACACAGAGAGAGAGAGAGAGAGAGAGAGACAGAGAGCACTGCGCCAAGAAGCCTGAACTGAGAACTCTTACATTTATTTTTTCTTCTGATTATACAACTACGATTAGACCATACATAGCAGTTCTGGGTAGTTGGGTGAAACCGCTGACAACAGGGATGCACAGACGTTAATCATGTACTGATATGTACTGTAATTGTAATTATACACATCTACATGCATTTGTGCATGCTTTTACTTCACACACGTCTAATCTAAGGTTAAGACACAGGGCAAGATCTTAAAGCATACTCCAAGGTATAAGACAAAGCAGTTGCCCTGTGGCAAACACGCACACGGTATACATATATATTATATTTATTTATATAATTTTATTTATTTATGTTATTATATTTATTTATTTATTTTATTTATTTATTTGTTTATTTATTTATTTAAATATATATATATACATACATATATATATACACATATTGTGGTATATATGTCATGTGTCATGCAACGTATGCAGACCGTGACTGTGGGTGGTGAGGTCTCACACACTACCTCTGTATAAGACAACCTCTGCGAAGATTTGACCTTTGGTAATCCAACAGCTTGCAATTGGAAAAAACAACGACAACGATTACTTTTATATTTAAATCGACTCATCTACACTCACCAGCCATAGCTTCAGTTGCAGGTGGGGCAGCCAAGGCAATTCCGCTACAGATGGACCCAGAATTTCTTGCACAGCGCCTTGGTCGATGTGAAGCCTGGAAAGAACACCTTCACCATCGCAGGGCAGTCCGTGCAAGCACCTTGGCGAAAAAGGTGTGCGGGAGAGGGCCGGAGTCGTTGGGAAGATTTGGAACGCAGCGGTCAACCACGTGGAAGATATGGAAGATATTTTTTTTGGCACCGCTTCCATCACAAACAATGACGGCATCATCATTTTCTCTGGTTCAAATTCGGCCAGGAAACCATTTGCAATCTGGATTTATATAATCCCATCATGAAATAGCACCCCCACCGAAACTGGTGGAATGTATTGAGCCTGTTCATTTTGACCATATGACCATATGGCTTTGGCTAAAAATGGGATCTCCCAATTCCGCTATCAAAGCAATCACCATATTCCCATGTTCAGTTGACCCCGGGGCGTGTATGTTTCCCATGGATGCGACGCCAAGTCCAGGTGGACCTTCCCGCAGAGAATCAGGGCATCCGCGCGGTCTTTTGGTCCGACCCCTGCTTTTCGTCCAAGTGGATTAGCTGCGCTGCCTGGCACCAGTTCATGTTCGCTTGGGATGTTACTGGGATATTTTGGGATGTTAAGTTGGGATGTTAAGTTGGGATATTAGAGAGAGAGAGAGAGCCAACTTTCTTTGTTTTTTGTGGTTTTGTTTTTGTCAGACGCTTGGGAACAGATTAAGTATAATTATGCCTTCAGCTTCTGTTGAACTCTTTGGAGATGATGATGGACAGAGAAAAAGATACGAACGAGCGCTCAAGCCTTGCAAAAACACGTGCCATGCTGAAACCATTAGGGATGATAAACATCTGATAAACCAAACTGTTTAGAATTATTGTGAGCATATCGCAAGCATAATATCTTTGGTCTGGATGAAAATAGAAGAAGTCCAATGGCAGTGACATACATGAAACTGAAGTATCAAACTGAAGTGAGCTCGAAGAACACTTATTGCAATTGGTGCGCCATTATCAACACTTGTGAGACACCGGTGAAACATTTGTAACATTCATCACTGATGCATGCAGCAGACAAACAAATTTGATGGCAGATGGGCAGTGGGTGATTGCATTTTGTGTTTGCACCTACTGTATGTTGATTGTTGATTGCATTGTGTTCCCCACATCAGTCTTGATTTCTCCTTGCTTGCCAGCGTCAGTGTTTTGCAGGCATTTGCCATTCTGGCCCGTTGAACATGAATATGCCAGCATACTGCATACTGTAATTCATGTTACGGTTTGCATGTTTGAAACCTGTAAGTAGGTGATTCCCTGGAAATATGTCTGACTTATTTACTCCGTCCCCGTCCCCTATTAGGGAAAACATAGAACATAGATCTAATCATAACCAATGGTTTAACACGTGTATTTATATAACATTAGGGGAAAGGGTTGCTATATATATATATGCATATATATATACATTATTGTTTGTTGATCCCTTGCTCAGAGGTTCAGTCTTAGCGACAGAAAGGTCATTGTCAATAAAACGACTGCCTAAGACAGAGTTGTGGCTTGAGAACGGCAGCAGTGCTCACCCAGCCAGTCAATGTGGCAATTTTTGTCAATGTAGGTTTTGATGTTTGCAAATTTTGGCGATTTCAGCGAAATTGGGGATATTGGGGCAAATTCTGGCGACGTTTGTCCATTTTTTTTCCGGAGAAGCACGACAAAATTCTGAGGCTTACGCTGAGAAATTTCAGACTTTTCCACGCTCCGTAGCCATGTTGAACGCGGTCTACAAGGCGACGGGATGATACGGGATGTGGGTGATTGGATGGGCTGAACACATTCACCCAGTATTACCTAGTTATGAAATATGATTCGTTTCAGCTTTCACTCAACAACTATTGCCATGGCGGATGTGCAGTTTGGGTTTTAATGGGTACAACCATGTATAACCCCGTGGTGTTAACCCCTTTGAGTTGGGAGAATTTATCCTCTGAAAAGTATCCCAATATGCCCATTGATTAACAAGTGCAATTGCGCCGGTAAAGGCTAGTGCACAAGGTTGGTGAACACTCCTAGCATTTACAAATTGACGAAATTTTAGCTATGAATGATGCACATAAACTGGACATAAACTGGTGAAAAAACCTCATTTCCAACACATGATACGCATCAACCAACTTTGAATTGAGACTTTGGCCATTTGGGATGGGATAAACCCAGATGCTTCCAGAGAGTCGAAAACCATCCGATGGGACTCTTGTTCAGTGGTGTTCGGCACGGAGGACCCGAGCATGGACATGTTTGCCATCCTTGGGGACAACTTCTATGACCAGACAGGTGCCGCGACATTTTCGACATCGCTAGGTTTTTTCAGTGACCAGAGAAACCTTTGTTGATGGATTATAATAGGGACTGGGTTTCATGGAGATGAGAGATGCTTATGATGATGATGATGACTTATTATTATTGTTATTATTCTTATCATCATCCATGAATTATATTATGCGAACCCCTATCAATCAACCACCAAAACCAATTCGCAACCAGCTTTCTGACGATGCTCAGATGAAGATGAAGGGGCACGGAACTACATCTCATGTGGGTTTAGATTTGCTGGAAAGTCACCCCCATTTGTAGATCATTTCCACATTCATTTGCCCATTTTTGGGGGGGGTTCCCAGTCAGCCATGTTTGATTCCTGAAGGGTACAACATATTACATGCACAACACAGGAGCATTGGCAATTTCACAGTTTGCATTTGGAAGCCATTGCAAATTTGGTTGGATGGATTTACCCATTTAAATTTTCCATAGCAAACTGTTAAATTGACAGAGGGCACATCACTTTGCATCATTTTGCATCGTTTGTTGGTTATATATCCTGTCAATATTGCCAAAAAAAAGCCCTCTTGTTCATGGATATCAAGCCCTATTGTTCATGTATATTAATTAGATAACTAGATATAAAATGGGATTTCAAACAATGATCTCCTTAAATATTCTTAATCATTTGTTGATTGGCTTTTATGGGCACCCTTTGGCAATTTAAGATAGCTACAGAAATCACATGAAATCACCATTTTTTATAGGGAAAGCATCGAACCAACTATGACATTGTCATTCATTTTCCATATATCTATGTTAAAATTACTGAAGGGCATATCCCCATGAAAACCATCCATTTAGTTCGATGATTTCTTGTTAAAACCTCCATTTATAAAAGATTTCCAGCCAGCCACTTTTGATGACACCGGAGGGTAAGTCTACCATTGATCTACTGATTTCCCAGCCTGCCACGGGGGTTTGGATCTCCCAAGAAATTTGCGAGGTGAACTGGCCAAGACTATCTTCGATCAGTTGTCACCAGACGTGAAGCGACGCTTTCTGCTGGTGGTCGCTGGGAAGCACTGGGGGACGTTTTCGGGGAACATTGCGGGGAAAAAAAACCCAGAAAATGATGAAACATGGGAGCTGATCCCCATTTTATGTTTTTTTTTTGATGACCCACAGTCATTCCCCAGCTTTTTGCCCAGCCGGGCCAGGTCAATGGCAACCATGACAACTGGGTTTGTGGTGGTCCCGGGTGTGGAGATGTTAGCGACAACTTTGGCATTGGACAAATGCAGTGACTTAACCGCAGCGCATCATCAGGGGTGAAAAACATGGTTCAACCACTATGGGGAATGGAGAATCCAGAAAGGATGGTGCTGAGTGATTTCTGGTTGCTGGTTTCGTTCATGTTTTTTTGATTTTCACCTGAAATGGGATGACGATCCCCATGACAAGCAGATGTTGACGGGATGCGAAGCCACCAGCCGTGGAATTTATCGCGGATTCATTGGACTCTAATGAAGCTATGGGATGTAAGACACATCATTGTCTGAGGGTCTGAACATGGGGCTTGATACCGGAGATATCCCAAAATGGTTTTTTTTGGTGGAAAATTGTTTTAACACCATGGGCCTATGGGACTATGGGCACCAGATTTTCAGACTATGGAGCCTTGGAGAATCTATAGGTTCTTGGGGGGATCCGGTCAAAGAAATCCTCCGGTAATCAAACATGGTAATGGACAAATCCCTATTTGGCCCGAGGATTTTCTAATCACATCTCCATTTATAAGCGATTTTCCCGTGTTTTTCCATGGATTTCATTGAATTTCCCATTTTCCCCATCAATTTTCCCACTAGATTCTCCCAATTAGCACCATTTTTCTATGGGGCTTTCCGAGATCAACATGTAGGTACTACACGGCGGACCCCATCGCTTCACGGAGCGGGAACGGCGACTTTCTGGACTTTTCCATTGATCCAGACCAGAGGTGCCAACGACATGGTACCCCTTGATCGCTGGATGGTTTCATGGAAAATCCCATCTATAGATGGATCGGATGGATGATAGTTGGGAGTCCTATGACTTAGGAAACCACCAATTTTTCATGGGGGAAGAAGAGTAACTCAACATGAGAAGGTGAATATGATGAAGATTGCTCTAAAAATGGGAACATGTTCTGCCCATATCCAGCTAGAACTTTTTTTTCTTGGCAGGAAATCTATGAATTGCCATGGCCTGGTAGTGTTGATCTCCTGGCCAATCCTTGGACCAAATCAGTATCCAAATGATGGCGGCTGGATAGCCATGTTGCCTCCGGCATTAGGCCCTTGAATTAGAATCTAGGGCCTTTGGTAAAGGTTTGCCAAAAATGAATGCTCTAGTGATGTGAAGTATTAGCCCGGCTGATATATGTGGATATATAATGATATATACTCCCCAGCTTACAAGATAACTGCTATTCAATTTTCCAGGATAGCTAAGCTCATCCACGGGTTCCTGAGCTAGCGCCACTTGGAGCATTCTGTTCCTTTCACATTTCCCTGGAGGCGACCCAACTACTTTTTGATAACCAACCTGGCAATGGAACACCAGTATCAAACCTTCCACTCAAACGGCGGATTTTCCTATTGAAGATCGTTAAAAACCATGTTTTTCCATGGTTTTTTACCCTTTTTGTATCTCCAACCCCGCCGAGGAAGGCCTGGAAGACTTTCCAGAACAAAGGCTCCAACTTCTTGGTGCCGTGGGCGGAGAAAGCGGGGTTCGTGAAAAAATGGCGAGTACAGGGCGCCCAAAAGTTAGTTTTGTTGATGAAAATAAACCCATGGACTTTGGTTTATATATATAGCGCCGGACAACTACTTAGAACGTCGTTTTGGACATTTTTAGGTGGGTACGAACCCTCTACTTAGAACATGTTCGGCGAATAGGGGACGTACGTTCTAAGTGACTTAGAACATATGAGGATCCTCTACTTAGAACACGCCATCATATATACATGTAAATATATATATATGTATGTATATGTATACATACATACAACTTAACACTGCATATTTATATTATATATACAGGAGGTGTGATGTTGCGTTAAGATACATGGAGATGTTTATATTGAGGTATATTGAAATTATATGACCGATTGAGCGGTTGGAATGGTCCAAAGTGGATTCTTACTTAGAACACGGGGGAACCCCCAAAACCTCTACTTAGAACATATACGTTCTAAGTAGTGATCAAGGATCACTACTTAGAACGTGTTTTGGAATTCCAAAACCAACACAGGATTTTCCAAAATATACACAGGATTTTCCAAAATGCACGTAGATAGCTGGTGGGATTCTTACTTAGAACAGGGGGGAACCCCCAAAACCTCTACTTAGAACGTATACGTTCTAAGTAGTGATCCAGGATCACTACTTAGAACGTGTTTTGGAATTCCAAAACTACAATATTCAAAATATATTATATATACACAGGATTTTCCAAAATGCACGTAGATAGCTGGTGGGATTCTTACTTAGAACACGGGGGAACCCACAAAACCTCTACTTAGAACGTATACGTTCTAAGTAGTGATCCAGGATCACTACTTAGAACGTGTTTTGGAATTCCAAAACCAACGTTCTAAGTAGTTGTCCGGCGCTATATATATATATGTTATATACAGTATATATATATAATATGTTATAGATCATAGATCCCCTATAAAACCTCTAGTTATTGGAGTTATGTTCACCCACTTAGCCACTTAGCTAACGAACTGGGGCGCCATCCCGTACCTCGTTTCAGCTCAGACCTGCTCCCAGGTCTACCACAAGTTGGGCAACATCGGCTTTCTGGGCTTCAGTGGTGCGGCGGACTTTCAGGACATGAAACCCTACTTCGAGGAGGCGTACCTATGGCGCACAGTTTCGCAAAGGATCGGCCGAGGTGATTTCCACCCCCAGCATGTGCATAAGGAACTTGTATGAAATGATCTTTTCCATTCATTTCCAAAATACTTTGTGGTTGTCCTTGGGAAGGGCAGTGCCAAAATAATGCCAGGCCTGCGACTATTTCGTGCAGACGCAGCCTGCTACAGTGCCACCTGCTCGATTTTGGCAAAGAAAACTTTAAGACACTTTAAGACACCTGAGTTTTTGGTGGTTCGACAGTTTTTTTTTTGGTTTTCCCTACCAGGGGCAGCGGGACCCCCCAAAAAACCAGCGACCGAAAACCATCGGTCCAAGGTTCCCATTGGGCCATTGGAATGGAGGTGGTATGGGCTGCCAGCCGGGCATGTCAGTGCCTGCGCTTCGCAACGCTACCTGGCCGATTTGGGAGGCCCTGCTGTTGTAAATCACAGGTCAAAAACAAGTCAATTGTTGGACTGGACTGCTGCATTTTTTAAATAAATAAATATATAAATAAATAAATGAATAAATAAATAAATATATATATATATATACATATTCTAAATAGATATTGAAGGCAGTCTTGACAGATGGCGATGGAGAGAGAGAGAGAGAGAGAGAGATAAATATTGACACACACACACATAATATACTATTTTTGCATTTTTTGGGGTCTTTGTTTTTTTTTTCCCAACTAATCGCCCGGGAATGCCTGGGAGTGCTTCGTTTGCAGCTAGGGGTGCACGGACCCGCTAGCCGCCAATCAATTTGCATAACATTCTCCCAACATTTTCTGGGATGATCCAACTGAAATGGCTGGATCCAAGCTATATCTTGAAACGTATATGCGTGCAACGTAGTTTCTTTCTTTCTTTCTCTCTCTCTCTCTATCTCTCTTTCTATGTATATATATATATATACTGCATATGTGTATATATATATATATATGTGTGTGTGTAGTGACACACACACACACGCACACATCCATACATTGATTACATTAGTTATGCATGTAGCTCCATTACATTGCATGCCATTGCGCTACATTGCATTGCATTCCATTACACTAGCCATTAAAGTTAACATCACAGTGCAGTGTAGTACGTACCCTGCTCCGGCTAAGGAGTTGCTATCGCTCACGCAGTGCCGAGCCCTGGGCAATCGTTTGAAGTATATGGACGGCCACGAGCACTGCAACTATGCCAGGGGGCCCAGGGGAACCAGGGCCTCTTTCGGCCACCACATTTAGGGGGAAATGATGTGAAATTCAGAAATTATATGACAATTGCACAAGATCACAAGGGGGTTTTGACCCCACAGCCATACCTGGTTCCCTTTTTTCAGCTGCAGGTGCAGGCAAACACCACTGAACCAGTGGGGTTCATGATCGGCGCCCATGGTATGGATGACTCCTGCAAGGCGCTGGCCATGGAAATTCGGAATTCCATCCTTCGAAAATCCGCCGGCGATGCGGGCAGGCCCAGTATGGCTTCCTCTACCTGGACAGCAGCAACGGCCGTGTGAAGTGCCATGGCAAACATGTGGCTATCCATGATTTTATGAATCTAATAGTTAGTTTCCCTTCCAGAAAAATCCCCATGAAGTGCCATTCAACTGCCATATTATACCGATTGAGCCACCTTTGCCAATGGCAGTCGTGACCGATGACCTCCTTTCCGAGGCTCTACTACTTCGAGGTCTTGGGTCCTTGGGGTCTTTCTTTTGCCGTTGAACATGTGGAATGCACTCTTCACCACCTTGAACCAGCAGTCTGAGTTAAGCCATGTCAGATATCATCAGAAATCATCAGAATTCATCAGAATTCATCAGAGATCATCAGAGATCATCAGAGATCATCAGAGATCATCAGAATTCATCAGAGATCATCAGAGATCATCAGAGATCATCAGAGATCATCAGCTTCTTTGAGTGAAACATAACCATATTTAAATATGATTAAAATCACCAGGACCAAAAAAACTGGACGATGCAGGTGGCCTCCGAGTCGGCAGACCAGTACGACCAGCTGATCGCCTGCGTGGCGAAGGGAGGAGTTTTCCGAGTTTTCGACAGACGTTTCGGATGCCACTGGATCCCATCTGGGGTTTTTTTTTGGGGATTGAATGGTGTGATGATTATTATGATTATTATTATCATTTAAGTTCTTGAACGATTTTCACTGACATGTGAATTCGCCGTTCATGCAATGCTACCTCTCAAGTTCTAATGTCTGGATCTAGTCTAGTTGCCTCGCATGTCGGTTGCCTGATTGGCGGGTTCCTCATTGGGACTTGGTGGAGCAGTGGGCAACTGAAGTGCCATTGTCCTGACTGCCTTGTGAACTTGTCGTGCCCTGCAGTCACGTGCACCACTGGCAGCATTGAGCTGTCACTGACCACGGTGCTGGGTCTTGGTCTATTGCTGAGTGTTCTCTACATATCCATTTGGTTTTTTAATCAGCTGGGTCAGGTTAGGGAGCCTGAGGTAAGGAACAAGTCGCTGGCCTTGGATGGCCGCAGGGGCTCACTTGGGTCCGCAGTTAGCTGGCGCCCAGGCTCCGGGTAACTTCGTCTTGGTGAAATACGATATCCCCGGGGACCCAACATGGCACTCAAGACTTCTCTTAGCCCATGTCACCGACGGGGAGTGGATCATTCTCACCCCACAGGGGGACATCTATGCCGAAGATCTGTCACCCGACAACCTGGACATTTATGGATGGAGAGCCTTCGACCCAAATGTTGGAGTGCCCTATGGAATAGATCCCAACCATGTGCACGACTTCACTCATCGCCCTGGTCAAGCCGCCATTCCAAACCTGATCAACGAAGGATTGGTACATGCATCTCACGAAAGGTTGCGGCGAGGAATCCCAGCTCCTGTGGCTCCAAACCCAGCTGCAGCCCCGGCTGCTGTAGGGGGAGGGGCTCCTGCTGGAGGTGCTCTCGTGGCCCCATTGGCCGGAGGAGCCGCCAATCCGGCCCCAGCTGCGTTGGGAGGTGGCGGAGGTGCAGCACCAGCTGCTGCAGCACCAGCAGCTCCCGCTGGCGCCGCCCCCCAAGGTGCATTGCAAGGGCTCACCTTGGTGCCTGGTGGAGGGGGCGGAGATGCAGAAGATGCGAGGACCTTGAGCATCTCGCGAGACGGAGATGGAGTTCGCTTCAAGGACTATCGGGTTGCTGTGCAGGAAAGCCGAATGGTCACCTTTGCAGATTGGCCGATCAATGGCCCCAGAACAGTGAAGCATGTGATCACTCAGATGGTGAATCACGGAGGTTCTCCCTCCGGTCATTCTCAAGCATGGCGCGTGGCATGTCGGATGCAACCGACAGACGGCCCCGCCATGGAGCACGATTCTTGGTGCCGTGTTCTCGAGGCCATGATTGTCTACGACCAGTTGGACACTACGAACTTGGCGAGTGCCGAGCTGGTGGTGAGAGCTATCCAAAGGCTGGAGGAGAAACACAAACACAAGATTGCTTCAAACGAGGATGCGGGGGAGGGCTCATTGTTCATGGGCACCAGCGGTGGATCGAGGTCAGGATTGATCATCGATCCGAAGCTTACAGAGTGGATTGGGAACGAGATGCAAAAGGAGGCCTTGGTGTCGAAGGAGCGCCGAAAGGCGAGAGAAGAACGAGCTCTATCTCGCAAAAACGAGGGCAAGGCAGAGGCTCAAAAATGACTGGACCTTGTGGCTTCTCTCCTGGTTTGCTGGGAGGATGGCCATTGTGGATCCTGACTTTTTCAATTTTCGCATGCATTCAGCCTGTGCATGGTGGAGTAGCTGAAGATTGTCGACAGCGTAACATCTTCCCCCTGCCTGAGCTGCCCCATGATGAAGGCGGGCCACATTCTGAAACTTTTTGGAAAGACTTAGCCAATCAGGGGATTCGCACCCTCAATGAAATTTCTGAAGGTGTTAATTCAAGTTTTGACAAAAACAAGAAGTCTACTCGTGCGCAACGCCGGGTTCTTTCTCAGATATCCTCCGCTTACCATGACACTTTTTCTGGACAGCAGCCGCTTCTCGAAAGTGGGGGTTTGGAGGATCTTTGTTCATCATTTCGTCTGTATGGATCGGTCCGCACGGACGTCAAGCCCTATGCCCGAGAGAATATCTCTTGGCCGCAGGCTGCCACCGCTCCGGTTCCGCTGGAGAGATGTCTGTCTGCCGCCGACAGCAAATGGCTAGGCACTTGGCAGTCGCATATGCTGAGAACTGACAATCAGGTTTCTGATGAGAACATCGTGCCATACATTGACCCAATATTGAAGAACAATCCCAAGGAGTATTGCAATTTTTTACAAGAGCTTTCAAAGAGGAACATGATCAAATTTCGGGTTGCGAACGGTGAGAAGGGTAAACTTGGTGTGTTTTTTGTTGCTAAGAAGAGCGGACAGTTGAGGCTCATCTTCGACACTAGACTGCTCAATCAAGCATTTATTGACCCACCATCCACAGATTTACCTTCAGCAGATTCATTCACACGACTTGAGCTTCCAGAAGATTCACAATTCTTCATTGGTTCAGGTGACCTTTCAAACGCATTTTATACATTGCAAGTTCCTTCCAAACTGGGTGAGTTGTTTACATTGCCAACGGCTCAGGCTGGAACCCTTGGCATTTCAACCATCAATGGATGCTCCATCCCGCCCGGCACTCAGGTTTTACCATACTTGACGGTGCTTCCTATGGGATGGTCGTGGGCGCTTCATCTATGCCAGATGGTACTTATGCATGGAATCCATTGTGCTGGGATCCCTGACCATTGCATCATCGGTGATAAGCGTTTACCAGTACATGTCGATGGGCCTACTAGTATTGCAGTTGCTGGTTATGTTGACAACTTTGGAGTATTTGGCTGCAGTAAAGAGCACGTTGACTCAGGCCTCAGGAAGATCAGCAAGACACTGAGAGATTGGGGCTTGACTGTACATGAAGAGGAGGAGGCATCACTGAAAGCTGATTTCATTGGTATGCACTTCAATGGTGAGACTGGCTATTTGTCTATCAAACCTTCTAGGCTTATCAAGATTAAAGCTGGTATCGATGACCTCCTTCGCAGACAGTTTTGCAGCGGCCGAACTTTGCAGCTGGTATTAGGGCATTGCACATGGGCCATGATGACCAGAAGAGAAGGACTTTCACTTTTGCAACACTCATACAGTTTTTGTCATAAGCACATGGATGATAGCGTTAGACTGTGGCCCTCAGTGCGTAAAGAGCTGAACTGGATATCTTCACTTCTGCCACTCTTTCGGATGAAGTTGAATTGTGGTTGGGGTACGGATGTCATGGCGTCAGACTCATCACCTTGGGGGGTAGGTATTTGTTCTCGTAAGCTTGATGTTAAAACTGTTCAAGAGTTTGGCAGGGTCAGTGAAAGATGGCGATACAAGTTTGAAGACGCTGCTCATGCTCGCAAACATGCATTGGGTGAGGCAGCCTCGACAGAAGCCGGAAACGACGACGGTGGTGCAAAAGATAGTTCTGGTTATGGGTATTCTTTTAGCACTTTTATTATCAACAACGGTTTCAACGAGGTTCCTGAATCCATCATGAAGCGTGAAGATTGGTCAGTAGTTTGGTCACGTCCATGGAAGTTTCAAGCCAACATACTCAACACTGAAGCACGTGGTCTTGCATGGTCTGTTGAACATCTTCTTCGAGCCAATCGATCTATCAACAAGCGACTCCTTTGCTTTAGTGATAACCTCCCTCTGGTGCTTGGTTGTGTCAAGGGTAGGGCTAAGTCTGGCCATCTTATCAAACCTCTCCGGAAAATTGCTGGACTTTGTTTGGCTACTGGTTCAAGGGTTTCAGTAAGATGGGTTGCCTCGGAGTTAAATGTTGCGGATGAGCCATCGAGAGCGGTTTCTGCCTGGAAGGCTTTAGGTTGGGACCGGTGGTGGCATGACTTCGAAAAAGAGGACCACCCCAGGACCAAATCGCATGGATTTGGCCGTGACTTGCAGTGGCAATCATCGAAAGAATCTGCTTCGAAGATTGAGGGTGAAGGAGGCGACCGATGTGCCGCCAATGTTGACCTACTTAGAAACCCGAAGTGTGAGGCCACCAACCATCAAGGACTACCAGAAACGACTGCAGAAGTTCACCACATGGATGAGTCAGATAGGAGCGACTGCAGTCAACGAGGTGGAACTAGATTGGTGCTTGGTGGAGTTCATGAACGAGATGTTCGAGAAGGGGGAGGGAATCGACACCGGCGTGAGGACTCATGCCGCACTTCGGTTCTTCTACCCGCATCTCGGAAGACCTGCTTCGGGAACACTACCTCGAAGTGTGAGGGCCCTGAAGGGGTGGATGGCGGCCGCACCGCCGCAGCAGCGACTTCCGCTGCCAATCGAGGCGCTGGGCGTCATCTTGATGGAGTTGATTGCCAAGGGCAAGCCAGAGCTCGCACTGAGGCTCTTTGTGCAGTTCCTGACGTATCTTCGTCCGGGGGAATGCTCTACTTTGAAAGTGAAGCAGTTGGTGCCTCCCCAGCCAGGAGGAGGAGGACGGTTCCAAAGCTGGGCCATTTTGCTGTCCCCGATGGAGGATGCGGTCCCAGGCAAAACTGGGGTGTTCGATGCAACAGTAGTGATCGACTCCGACCCCTGGATCAGCCCTTTCCTCACAGGTCTCATTCACAACAAGCAGGCCAACGACAATCTGTGGACCGACCCTCATCAAGTCTTGGTGGCCGAGTACCGCAAGGTGACAGAGATGCTAGGACTACAGGGATTGGGAAGCTGCCTTTACACTCTTCGACATGGAGGAGCCACACACGACATTGTCACCAGGCGTCGAACAATGCTGGAGGTGAAACAAAGGGGGCGCTGGGCCTCCGACAATTCACTGAAGAGGTATGTGAAGCTTGCTCGCCTTCAATGCGAGCAGTCAAAGATGCCGGCTGCCTTGATCGAAAGAGGACAAGACATTCTGAAGCGCCTCCCAACTCTTTTAAGTCAGGGAATGTCAAGTGTGGAGAACCCGTCAGCATGCCAAAAGTCACCAGGCGGCTGCAAAAGAAAGCAGCTGCTTGTTCGGTAGAGTTTGCCAAATCTGAAGCCAAACAAAAATCTGGACGTGAGTTGTTGCAGCATCTTTTTAAGCAAGCCGTCCGCAATGCCAAGCATCGCAAGAGGTTTGTTTTTCTTGATTTGTTTTCTGGTGATGGTGGTGTTGGTAAGTATCTGCGTAGGCAGGGTTATGCTGTTATTTCAATTGATGTTTGCAACAATCCTAAATTCGATTTGCGCGATCCAGAGGTACAGAAGCTCATTTTTGGCTGGCTGCGTAGCCGATGCATCATAGGCGTTTGGCTTGCCACACCTTGCACCACTTGGAGTCGTGCAAGACATGGACCAGTTGGCAGTTCTTGGGGGCCGCTGCGTGACAATAAACATCTTTTTGGGTTACCTGGTTTACCCCCCAAAGATCGTGACAAGGTCCGTGTTGGTAATGCTACTGCCTCTTTCACAATTGAAATCATTCGGTTATGCACATTGTGTCATGTTCCTTGTTTTCTCGAAAACCCCAGTAGCTCGATGCTTTGGAAACTCCCCAAACTTGTTCGGCTTGGGGGTCTGTCTTGCAGTCAGAAGTTCATTACTGATTTTTGTCAGCACGGAGCGCGTTGGCGTAAGAGAACAAGGATTCAAGCATGGCACTCTCCTGATGTTCCCTCTTTTCACCGGCAGTGCAGTGGACATGGTGGGATATGTTGTAGTACTGGTAGATATCATATTGTTCTTCGGGGGCTGGATCCTGTTTCTAAGCTGTTCTGGACCCATCTTGCTCAACCCTATCCCGCCAAGTTTTCATTTGCCGCCGGGTCAGCCATGTTGCATGCCGCAGATAATATGCACTCTTTAACTTTACGACAGCGGTTTGGCAACTAAACTTAGATTTTTTCTTTCTTTCCCTACGGCTTCACCAGTAATTGAATATGAGATCCAAGGCATCGGGGTGAATGTCAGCGCATGGCTTTTTGAATGTCAGCCGCCTGATGTGGATTCACGCCTGCACATGCCATATCTCAGATGAAAAGCTGCTGGTGGATGGGATTTGGAAGTGATTTAAGTTCTTGAACGATTTTCACTGACATGTGAATTCGCCGTTCATGCAATGCTACCTCTCAAGTTCTCCCTACCCCTTTCTTTTAATCCCTCCCCTTGAGGGTGCCTTGGGGTGAATGTCAGCGCATGGCTTTTTGAATGTCAGCCGCCTGATGTGGATTCACGCCTGCACATGCCATATCTCAGATGAAAAGCTGCTGGTGGATGGGATTTGGAAGTGATTATTATCATCGTTATTTCTATTATATTCTATTATTATTGTTATGGTGATGATGATGATGACGATGATGATCATCATCATCAGCATCATTGTTAACTGTTATTGTTATTATGATTCTTTAAAAATCGTTTGCCAGATAATACTCAAACTTATGAAAAAACATCCCAAGCATGGGGGATGTAGGCGATGAATCTTGGGACCATAGAATGGGGGTGATTGATACGGGATGGGATGAATGGGTCTTGATTAATTCTGGATCCCCAAATGGCTGAACTGAAAAAAAGTGAGCCATTGGATTTCCCAACTAACGTGACGACCCTGCGCTTCTCAGGGTCCATGTTATACAGTTAGGGGATGTGAACTACTGTTTTATATATGCGCGCATTTATTGTATATATATATATATATTCAATAAATGGGTCTTTTCAAAACGTAGACTTTGGTATATGTAGAATTTATGTAGATATATTTAGATATTCAGTGTATTATCAGCAAACGGCTTTTGAGGATTGTTTTCAAGAGGAGTCTTGAATATGTGTTATTTATTGTTTTGAATATATATATATATATCTGTGTGTGTGTGCATATAGTTATATACATATATATATATACACATGGGCTTCTATATTGTATATTATATAGGTAACACACACATACACACACATATGTATATATATATATATGCAGATGCTGCAATGATCATGCCTGAATGCTTGTGGCCGCCCAGGCGCCAGTGCAGGTCAGCGTGAAAAGCGGAAGGGGAGGTTCTTATTCAAGCGAGTTTTTTTAAAACCACAGATATGATATTTCAATCTGTTTCATAGCTTTTGACTTATCCCTACGCTTCTGTAAACGAAGGCTACCCTTCATGTGGAGCTAATCGCCACGTCATATGCAGATTTCCAGAGGCCAAGTCCCAATTTATGGCATCATTTTCATCACCTGTGGAACAAAAACCGTTTTCATCTCCAAATTTGAACTGCCGGAGGATTGAGCTCTTGCACAAAGATGGCCCAGCTCTGGCTGGATGTCCCTGCCACGTGGCTATTTCCCCCTGTTGGTTGATGATTAGTTCGAGGATTGCACTACCCGGTAGACATCTTGGGGATGAAATGATAATCCAACAGGGGATTTTTTGTTCTTAACTAGGCTTAAATGGAATGAGATATTTTCAACACTGCTCACCTTACCTTTTGATGATTTTGAGTTGGATGATGGATTGGTTTGGTCCATTGTTTGGCAGTTGTCCTCATGCTGTCCGTCATCGGGCTCCACGAAAAGATGGACAAGTACATTCCTTCATCATGGGCAATTAGCCTCTGATGATTTTAACATGACTATGCAAAGGCTCATCTATAAATGATTTACCAGTTCAAAATGGTGTTTTTCAACAGCGATTTTTCAACATTTCCAGAGCGTTGTCGTATTTTTTCCCCTTCAACAGCTATGTGGCCATTTGCCACGCTCTGTGGCTCAGTGTCCAAATTTTTGCACAGGTGACCAGCGAGACAGAGACCTACGCAGCTTGGTGGGAAAAAAATGGTAAAACAGGGATGCTAGGACAAGACAGGTTGGAGGTCAGGTGGGAGGCTGTTATGTTTTTGTTCAATGTTGTAAATCTAAATGTTTGACTGTTTCTTTTTGATTATCTTGCTAAATGTGTTGTTGAGGTTGTTGTGATAATGTTTGGATTGAATGAAGGGGATAATTGTTGAGGTGGTCAGAGTTTCTATGTGTAGGTTCAGGTTCAAATTCTACCAAGCTGTTGTTCAAAGATGTCGAATTATTTGCTTCAAATTCATGTATTGATTGAGGTTAGGCGCTGTGGTTCCTGTTTGGTTTTGCATATCAAGCATCCTTCAATACCAAAGCCAGTTTGGCACAAATTGACTGAACCGATGTATTGTCCCTTTTCTTCGACATTCCGCAGATGCATCTTTGTGAGGCAGGTTGAGCTTGCGCCAGGCCGGTTCGTCCTTCCAAGCGGTCATGCACGAACACAGCCCGCAAGGGCTTTTCCGGCGCAGACCGTTAAAACTGGTTGGACGTTGTTGAGCACAGGGAGCGTCGTAGTGCTGGTTCTCCAAGCTCTCATTCAAAGGTTCCTTCCTGGCTTCTTCATGAACAGGGAAGTGAGGAAGGCTGGGCAAAGGCTGAAAAGGAAAGAGCCCGCCCCTGCACGGCCTCTCGAGGAGGAATACATCAAGGACTTCATCAATTCACCTCAAGGTGAAGCTTTGAGCACCCCTTCCTTCTTGGTGGTCAGTGGTTCCCAAGGCATTGGGAAACCAACCATGCTGAACAATCTCATGTGTGAGCATGTGAAGAATGGCAAAAGGGTGCTTCCTCTTGATATTTCTGTTCGTCCTGTGAGGGCTTGAAGCTGAACGAGGCGCTACCCCAAGCGTTACAAGCCGTAGATTTGCCCCGATATGACCCGTCAAATGTCAAATTTTTGCTGGAACGGGTGAATGAGACGTCCAAGCACCGAACAGGCAGTGCCGTCGTCGTATACCTGCAACTCACAACCAAAAGCCGCGGAGACAAATTTAGTAGGGATGCCTGTGATGACATTGCTTCCACCCTCGGTGCCTTCGCTCGCAACATCACCTACGACAATGCCGCGTGCAAGTTCATTTTGGAGGTCAGCGTGTCTGCAGTGGCAGACATCATCAAAGAAAGGTTTGCTGTAACATGTCAAGGCTGGTGGTGGTGCGACCACTACCTTTCGAAGACTTCACGTCTGTGGTCAAGGAGGTGGCGAAGCAGGGAAATGACTTCCGGACGCTGAACAAGGTTCTTGCCGACGACAAGATAGAGGAGGTGTTGAAGCACTACTACATCCGCACAGGGGGACTTCCGCGACTTGGGCGAGATACTGGAAAACGTCTCCAGAGAAGGTCAGAAAGGTGCGGATGCGGTCATCGAGCGGGTTGAGCAGTGGTACAACCGGAGGGTGGAACCAATTGAAAAGAAATTGGATGACCAGGAAGTGAAGGACTATCTCCTCAAGGTGGCTGAGGCAGGACTCATGGGGTATCTCCCAAACAGCAAGCAGACGACCCAAATGACTTTGAATCTTCTTCGTGAGGAGCCAGCAGACTGCGTCCTGAGGAGTACAACCAGTGAAACTGTGGCTTTGAAGCATTGGCATTTCATCGCCAAGCTCTTTGAAGAGGATGAGCAGAAGTTGAGGGATGCAGGATACATGTGAGCTTCGCCGGTGAAAAAAACTGTGACGCTTGAGATGTTTTGTGGGTGAGTCATCCAAGAGTAATTTTCACATATTGCATGCATAACCGCAGATACCCAACCCTAGTATCAATGATACCCAGATACCAGTATCTAAGTATCAACGATACCCAGAGCCTAGTATCAATGATACCCAGATACCAGTATCCAAGTATCAACGATACAGAGAACCGAGTATCAATGATACCCCAAACCGAATATCAATGATACCCTGATACCAGTATCCAAGTATCAATGATACCCAGAACCGAGTATCAATGATACCCAGATACCAATATCCAAGGATCAATGATACCCAGAACCGAGTATCAATGATACCCCAAACCGAATATCAATGATACCCTGATACCAGTATCCAAGTATCAATGATACCCAGAACCGAGTATCAATGATACCCAGATACCAATATCCAAGTATCAACGATACCCAGAACTGAGTATCAATGATACCGTGATACCAGTATCCAAGTATCAACGATACCCAGAACCGAGTATCAATCATTCACCGAACAAGCAACAACAGACAAATCGTTTCACCCTGATTTTTTTTTAAGCCAAACCATTAAACACGGACAAATCGTTTCACCCTCAACTTTTGACAAAAGCATGAAACACGGACAAATCGTTTCACCCTCAACTTTTATAGCTAAACCATCAAACACGGACAAATCGTTTCACCCTGAACTTTTGAAGACAAAAAATCCTTACTTCAACAAGTGTCCTAAAACCATCGTTTTAGCGTTCAAAAAACATCAATTTAGGACACTTGTTAAAAACACAATTTTTAGAACAACAGACCCAAAAACACTTAAAGAAATGACGCCTTATAGAATCAAGAATTGAATATGCCCTGCTATATGTATATTAACGGTATGAAACAAGAAATGGACGAAGACCTTTTTGACCAAATGGCGGAAGCATTACACCAATCCAGCAACCCTCAAAATCCACCAACCACAACATCCACAAGATGGAAGCCCGACGGAACTTACGACAAGAAACCATTAGACCCCAATTATTTTTCAAAGTATTATCAAAAGAAATTATCAACCCCTTTCACCAGTCCAGACTGCGGACGAACCATCACAAGCAAATCCAATCTATCAAAACACCGTCAAACCAACAGATGTATGAACAGCAGACAACACTAAAAATAAAACCTTCTCATTAACTTGATCAGAATGTTTTATCTATTCATTGTCCATTCCCGTTTGTTTGACACAGTTGTTCTTTTGATGCCATAGAGCATAGTATTGAAAAAATTAACGCTTACAAAACGGACATTCAACCTTCAAAAGGCGTTGTTCTATTATTTTCTCTTCATTCAAACGGCGTTTTTCTATTATTTCCTCTTTATGTTTGTGATAGTATGCTCTGGCACGTGCCTTGCCTCTTTCATAGTATTCTCTCGCTTGCTCTGGATTGTCCAGTTTCCACTCCTGTTGCGTCCTACCTGCAATCTGTCTATTGACACATTCTGTTGCTTTGATATGTCCCCCTTCTCTTTTGAACAATTCTTCCTTACTTTGACACGGGTAGTTCTCAATCAGTTCAATCGTACAATTCTCAATACCGAATTCATTGAATATATCTATTGCGGTTGTCTTCTTTTTCATCCTCCCTTTGATGTATTCCTTATATTGTTTTCTATGTCTTTCCATTTTTTTACTCAAACTTTCACAGGTGCTCCCAATATAGCATTTATTATATCCAACATCTGTAATTTTGTAAATCTTTCCGTTTTCATACCTATTCATACCTACATTTACCATAAGTTGCCATTTCTTTAAAACAATTTATCAAGTCAAACGACGGTGTCCTCACGTTGGACTTCAACCCAGAACCCAATGACCTAAAAACTGAACGAGAGCCCAAAAACTACTTAAAGAAATGATGTTTTATATATTAAGGAGAATATGGGAGAGGGTGTAAGGTTAAAAAATGAAAATTTATCTCAAAACTTAATCCACCAACAATCCAATCATCCGCAACATCCTCAACAAACAATTCACACTGAAAAACTACTTAAAGAAACAGAAGATTATAATAATATAGATTATACTATAATGGACACTTCACAGCAGATTGTTTTAGATTATCTTTTGTCATCCGAAAAGGGTGAGATATTGAAACGGAATGGAGAAGAACTCAAGAAACTCAAGATTGGAGACAAGACCTACAACTTTGAAAGGGGGAAACCCATTTCAAAGAGGTTGATAACAAAATTCAACAAGATTAGGCAGACAATGGACTACAAAAAGTATGAACTGAAAGAGAAGAGAGGCATTAGATGGGTCAATCTGGACAAGAACAAAGCACCCACAGGCATTCAAATGAGATACAAAGCAACCACCACCAACGAACAATCTGCTTTCAAAGGTTATGTCAATTCGTATGCCATCACTAACATCAGGGTTAGAGGCATAAAGGCACTACAGTATCTCAAATACCAAGATTTGAGGTTAAAAGAGTATTTGAGGAAACAAAATGGAATGAAGGTTATGCTACAGGTCTTCGCCACTTTGAAGAGTAACAAGACTAATGAAGATGTAAGACAAGTCATCAAGAGTAGAAGATACAACATCACCAACGAGGGTGAAATACCCAATGTTCTTAATCAGATGGCAAGTGATGTAGAGCACCAAGCGGAGGTGATGGAAGTGTCGGAGAGTGGATTAGTCATAACCCAGATTGATAAACTGAAGTTCAACTATGACAAATACAATCCAACTCGTGGGGGTAAGTTCATTCCATTACCTAAATGGGTTTCAAACAAAAAAGCCTGTATCAACATCAAAAATCAAGATGAATAGTGTTTCAAGTATTCCGTTCAATGTGGTATATGTAAGGTTTATGAAAAAGACCACCCCGAAAGGGTGTCTCACTACAAAAACCTCAATGATGAACTGAACTGGGATAATGTGTATTTTCCTTCGTCAGATGTTGATATAGATACATTTGAAGAAAACAACGGAGGAAAAATAGCAGTCAATGTTTATTTTCTTGACCCCGAAGAAGGGAAACAGTCCATCATACTTTACCGACAGTCTAAAGTATTAAAAGCATCTCATCAAATCAGTCTTCTAAAACTGGAGGATGGGGATGACTACCATTATGTATTCATCAAAGATTATGATAAAATAATAGGAAGTCAAACCAACAAAATGAAAGCAAAGAAACATCACTGTTTTCACTGCCAACACGGCTTTTTAACAAAAGAACTTCTTGATGAACACGTTGAAAAGGGATGTATGGCAGTTGAAGGGCAACAGATACAGATGCCCAAAGAAGACAACATTATGGTTTTCAAAAATCACTATAAAAAGTTGAAAACACCTTTTGTCATCTATGCTGACTTTGAGTGTTTGACCACAAGGACGGGGACAGTTTCCACCAAAGAAGTTAAGACTGATAAATATCAACATCACAGACCCTGCGGTTTTATGATAAATGTTGTCAATAGCATTGATGGTTCATCAAAGCCTTTCCTTTACAGAGGGGAGGATTGTATGGATGTGTTCATTCAAAAAATTATTGAAGTTAAAGATGAAGTTATGGAGAAGATGAAGGAAAACAAGGAAATCATCTTTAATGCCAACAACAGGAGGGACTTTAATACCGCCACGAAGTGTTTTATTTGCGGTAAAGACTTCCAGTAACAAGGGGACAGAAAGGTTAGAGACCATTGCCACTTTACAGGGAGATATAGGGGGTGTGCTCACGATGATTGTAATTTACAGTTTGCTATGCGTTATTACAAAATTCCAGTTTTCCTTCATAATCTCAAAAACTACGATAGTCATTTAATCATTGAGAGGGAAAATGAACTATCAGAAAGGGGTAAGATAGACGTAATAGCCCAAAATAGTGAAAAGTTCATAACATTTGCATTCAAAAATCTTTGTTTCAAAGACAGTTTTTCGTTCTTATCATCTTCATTGGACAAGTTGGTCAAGTTGAGTAAGTATGAAGATGGACAGAAGAAACAGCATTGGCAAAAGAATTTTAAATTCAGTAAAAGAAACCCCTATGTTGAGACCGATGAGGATTTAGATTTACTTACTGACAAAGGGATATATCCATACGACTACTTCAATTCATTTGATAAGTTCAGGGAAAAGCAATTATATACCCCCGAAAGAGGCATTTTACAGTAATCTCACCGAAAGTCATATTGAAGATGATGAGTATGAAAGGGCACAAAGGATATCGAAACACTTTGGTTTGAAAAATCTTGGTCAATACCACGACTTGTATTTGAGAACTGATGTTTTACTACTCACTGATGTCTTTGAAAATTTTAGAGACCTTTGTGTGGAATACTACGGTTTAGACCCCGCACATTATTTCACCCTTCCTAACTTTGCTTGGGATGCTATGCTTCTAAAAACTGGTGTTGAAATAGACCCTTTGACCGACCAAGAGATGTATGAGATGATTGAGAAGGGTTTGAGAGGTGGTATGTGTCAAGTAAGTCATAAGGAAGCAAAAGCACATAATAAGTATATGATGGACGACTATGATAAAAGCAGACCATCCAACTACATCAACTATTTAGATGCTAATAACCTTTATGGACTGGCAATGTCAATGAAACTACCCATAGGAAACTGAAATGGATAAAGAAGATACTGACAGAAAAGATGATAATGGACTGGAATGAAAACGATGACAATGCCTACATACTGGAAGTTGATTTAGAGTATCCAAAGGAAATACAGGACGAACAAGCGGATTACCCATTAGCACCTGAAAATATGAAGGTTGAAGAGAAACTACTTTCAAAACACCAAAGGGAACTACATAGACATTACTATAATGGCAAGGAGGCACGGGATGAGAAACAACCAAAACTTATCCTAAACCAAATGGATAAGACCAACTATGTAGTCCATATCAAGGCATTACAATTTTACCTTCAAAAGGGTATGAAAATCAAACAAGTTCATCGTGGGGTGAAGTT